TTTTCATTGGCTAATTTATATCTTGTTCCCACCAGATAATTATCTCGTGGGAACGAGATAATAAGTCGTGGGAACGAGATAATTATCTCGTGGGAACGAGATAATTAACTCGTGGGAACGAGATAATATAGTCGTGGGAAACGAGATATTATGTCGTGGGAACGAGATAATTATCTCGTGGGAACGAGATATTATGTCGTGGGAACGACTTATTATCTCGTGGGAACGAGATATTATGCCGTGGAAACGAGATAATTATCTCGTGGGAACGAGATATTATGTCGTGGGAACGACTTATTATCTCGTGGGAACGAGATAATTATGTCGTGGGAACGAGAATATTATGTCGTGGGAACGACTTATTATCTCGTGGGAACGAGATAATTATCTCGTGGGAACGACAATATTATCTCGTGGGAAGACGACTTATTATCTCGTGGGAAACGAGATAAATAAAGACACCCACATGTCACCTCTGTGCCACCGTATTTTTTGGACTAACTGCTTCCAAAATTAAATCACGCATGTGTTCAAGAAAAAGGTTGATAAATCTACTTTTAGCAAAAAATCTCATTTTAAGGTATTTTCTACGGTGGCACAGAGGTGACATGTGGGTGTCTTTATTTATCTCGTTCCCACGAGATAATAAGTCGTTCCCACGAGATAATATCTCGTTCCCACGAGATAATTATCTCGTTCCACGAGATAATAAGTCGTTCCCACGACATAATATCTCGTTCCCACGAGATAATTATCTCGTTTCCCACGACATAATATCTCGTTCCCACGAGATAATAAGTCGTTCCCACGACATAATATCTCGTTCCCACGAGATAATATCTCGTTCCCACGAGTTAATTATCTTTTGTTCCCACGAGATAATATCTCGTTCCCACGAGATAATTTCAGCCAATCAAAACTCAGTATAGTGGAAAAATTAAAAAGTTATTTCCTTTTTTTAAACAAATGCTAAAATGGACTTTAACAATCAGGCTAATATTAGAAACCTTATAATCAAGATACTTTCATGAAAGATTGAATTACCGGCAAATAGTGACTGTGTTGCGAGAACACAACATGGGATATTATGTCAATAAGAACATTTATATAGACTTTTAAGGTCTGAAGGACTTCAACGAAGGTCGTACTCTGATCCATCTTCAGTTATAGACTTCGTCCAGAATGAACTCCAACATTCAGGCCAGCAACACGGATACAGGATTATGCGTGAAAGATGTCTGGCAAATGGTTTATATGTTCGATCAGGCGACATAGCAACCATTCTCCGTATAATGGATCCCGAGGGTAAGAAAATAGCACACCCGTCTTTATAAATGTATAGCCACAAATAACAAAATGTCATGTAAAAACTTGAGAACACAGAACATGACAACAAACGTCATATTTATAAGACTTTCTTTTCTGTATCCATTATCATATATTCCTTTATGTTATTTGATGAACAAAAAGCCTCTTCTGTATGAACTTCATAAACGCACTACCCAATTAAAGGAGAAATCACACAGCATCCAGCAGTATCAAAGCCACATGATCCCTATGCGACCAAACATTCACTTTGTTAAAGGGTAAACCCAATAGGCAACGATGTTGGCCTATATAAACATGAGAATACATACAGGAGAGAAATACTTTAAATGCGACGTTACGTGAGAATACAAACAAGAGAGAAATACTTTAAATGCCCCACGAGACGTGAGATTACATACAGGAGAGAAATTCTTTAACTGCGACGAGAAATGAGAATACATACAGGAGAAGAAATACTTAAAATACGACAAGACATGAGAATACATACAGGATAGAAAAAATCTTTAACTGCAACGAGACATGGGAATACATACAGGAGAGAAATTCTTTAACTTCGACGAGACATTAGAATACATACAGGAGAGAACTTCTTTAAACTGCGACGAGACATGAGAATACATTCAGGAGAGATATTCTTTAACTGCGACGAGACGTGAGAATACATATAGGAGTGAAATACTATAACTGCGAAGAGACATGAGAATACATACAGGAGAGAAATAATTTAAATGCGACGAGACGTGGAGAATACATACAGGAGAGAAATTATTTAACTCCCGACGAGAAATGAGAATACATACACGAGAGAAATTTTTAACTGTGACGAGACATGTGAATACATACACGAGAGAAAAATACATACTGGAGAGAAATTCTTATACTGCGATGAAGACATGAGAATACATACAGGAGAGAAAATCTTTAACTGCGACGAAACATAAGAATATAAACAGGACAGACATTCTTTAACTGCGACGTGACATGAGAATACATAAAGGAGTGATTTTTTTTAAAAATGCGGCGAGACGTGAGATGCATATAGGAGAGAAATTCTTTAACTGAGACGAAAGACATGAGAATACATACAGGAGAGAAATTCTTTAACTGCGACGAGACATGAGAATACGTACAAAAGAGAAATTCTTTAACTGAGACGAGACATGAGAATACATACAGGAGAAAGATACTTTAAATGTGACTAGAGGTGGAGAATACATACAGGAGAGAGAAAAACTTTAAATGCGACGAGACATGAAAATACAGATAGGAGCGAAATTCTTTAACTGCGAAGAAATTGTTAAGAATACATAGTCATACAGGAATAAAATACTGTTAATTATATGTATACTATATATATTATACTATATCTATTCTCACGTCTCGTCCCGCAGTTAAAGAATATCTCTCCTGAATGTATTCTCATGTCTCGTCGCAGTTAAAGAATTTCTCTCCTGTATGTATTCTAATGTCTCGTCGAAGTTAAAGAATTTCTCTCCTGTATGTATTCCATGTCTCGTTGCAGTTAAAGATTTTCTATCCTGTATGTATTCTCATGTCTTGTCGTATTTCAAGTATTTCTCTCCTGTATGTATTCTCATTTCTCGTCGCAGTTAAAAGAATTTCTCTCCTGTATGTAATCTCACGTCTCGTGGCATTTAAAGTATTCTCTCTTGTTTGTATTCTCACGTCACGTCGCATTTAAAGTATTTCTCTCCTGTATGTATTCTCATGTTTATAGGCCAACATCGTTGCTATTGGGTTTACCCTTTAACAAAGTGAATGTTTGGTCGCATAGGGATCATGTGGCTTTGATACTGCTGGATGCTGTGTGTGATTTTCTCCTTAATTGGGTAGTGCGTTTATGAAGTTCATACAGAAGAGGCTTTTTTGTTCATCAAATAACATAAAGGAATATATGATAATGGATACAGAAAAGAAAGTCTTATAAATATGACGTTTGTTGTCATGTCTGTGTCTCAAGTTTTTACATGACATTTTGTTATTTGTGGCTATACATTTATAAAGACGGGTGTGCTTATTTTCTTACCCTCGGGGATACATTATACGGAGAATGGTTGCTATGTCGCCTGATCGAACATATAAACCATTTGCCAGACATCTTTCACGCATAATCCTGTATCCGTGTTGCTGGCCTGAATGTTGGAGTTCATTCTGGACGAAGTCTATAACTGAAGATGGATCAGAGTACGACCTTCGTTGAAGTCCTTCAGACCTTAAAAGTCTATATAAATGTCTTATTGACAATAATATCCCATGTTGTTCTCGCAACACAGTCACTATTTGCCGGTAATTCAATCTTTCATGAAAGTATCTTGATATAAGGTTTCTAATATTATGCCTGATTGTTAAAGTCCATTTTAGCATTTTTAAAAAAGGGAAATAACTTTTAATTTTTCCACTATACTGAGTTTTGATTGGCTGAAATTATCTCGTGGGAACGAGATTATTTATCTCGTGGGAACAAGATAATTAACTCGTGGGAACGAGATATTATCTCGTGGGAACGAGATATTATGTCGTGGGAACGACTTATTATCTCGTGGGAACGAGATATTATGTCGTGGGAACGAGATAATTATCTCGTGGGAAAGAGATATTATGTCGTGGGAACGACTTATTATCTCGTGGGAACGAGATAATTATCTCGTGGGAACGAGACATTATCTCGTGGGAACGACTTATTATCTCGTGGGAACGAGATAAATAAAGACACCCACATGTCACCTCTGTGCCACCGTAATTTTCAGTGATAATTGACTCCGTTGTCACCTTAAGGATGTTGGTTTAAACATAATATTATCTATTTAAGCTCGATTAACGAAACAATTTCTTGCATTTTATATTAATCACTTTCGGGCCCGCTTCCTTGAGCCAACCAGTACTGGTGTCATATGTAGAAACATGGTTGTGACCCGAGTGGGGCTCGAACGGATGATCCCTGGGTTGAGAGGCAGATACATTAACCACCAGGCCACCGCTCCCCTTTCAGGATTTTAATATACAGAGCAGATACTCTCAGTTTGTAGCTGCAACTTCTTCACATACACTGTACGTTCTTAAACAACGGTATACAACCGATAGACATGGACAAGCCTTTTTTTTCGATGAAGCTATAGAAAATTTAAGTGTCCCATTACCACAATAACGAAAAATTGAAATACCATAGATCTACTTAATTCATATCACATTGATAACAAAAGAAAAACATGTAATTTTGTATAATATTTTTTGACAGTGAAACGATACCGGCGGAATGAAATCTCTGTTGGCAGCGAGATTAAGTTTGGTATTGCTAATTTCTCTAATTCCAAATGGTAAGTCTTATCTTTGTTGTTATGGTTGTTACTTTAAATGTTTTTATCTCGGATCAATTTTAGAGTTGTGCTCAGTTTTATGTGAATGGAACTTTGTGTATGTGCGCAGTCGGTATGATCGGACTGTATGGATTAATCTGATCGGCTACACGAATAACTCGTGCAACGTTACATAAAGTAAATAAGAGTTTATTGATATTTTATTGTATAATTATACACACAATATACAATTTCACAGTTTTACAAATGTAATTTACATACAAATTTAAGGGGTTGGGTGAAAACTTCTAATAACATTAACTTGGACCATTCCCTGATCAAATGTTGCTCGCTCTTTTTACTGGTCAGATTTCAAGCATTTTAAAATATGTTTTTAATTTTTATGAGAAAAAATGAGCCAATAATTTCCACATAATACTTCTATCGGAAGTGTCTTTAAGGAGAAAAGACCGCGGTATCTTCTAGCAACAGTCTGAATTGTGTAGACGCTTTTGTTATATGCATTTAAAAGCGTCCTAGGACAAGGAAAATATTTTTCAAAATTGCTACGCTCATCTTATGAAGGCAATGATGATTCTTGATTTCGATCGTCCAGATGTAACTTAAGTCATGATTTGTTGATATGTTCATTATGCAGGTAGATTTATTTCTTCGTCATGATCAAAAATCCTTTTGAGTATTTAGGCATGAAAAAAATGACTGAGTGTAACATTATTATAAGAAGTGCATGCCCATTTTGCTTCAGTTGATGGTCAATGTTCTGGGTCATCAACAGTGCTTTCTCTGACAGCTTCAACCACAACCGTTGGAGTTATCACGTCAAAGAATTATCCTTCACATTACGAGAAGTAATTTCTTGTTATCTTTAAAGCTATCCAAATAAATAAATAAATAATGGGTGTAGATTTGAGTCAGACTAAAAAAATCACGATAAATAAATCAATAAATAATTAAACTAAAAAAATCAATATATATAAGTATATTGATCATTCAAATAAAAGCACGGTGACGCTACCTTTCAAATGAAACCGTGACCAAAACCAAACTGAAAGTGAAGGTGGCAGTTGTGTGGGGTTTTGGGAGGGCGGATAATGTTATATAATTATTTTCAACACACAATGGAACGGAATTGACGGGATTTTACCATCTAACCTGAATAAGACTTATCCTTAACATTACGCAGTCGGGAATTTTACAACTTTACTTAAATAAGAGTTATCTACGGTGTCCTTATCGTGCCATTTAGAATGTCGTCCGTCGCGTCTAAGGGTAGACACACGACAATGTGAAGTGACATCGCGACAATGCGAAGCGACGCTCGACAACGCGAAGCGATATGCGACAATGCGAAGCGACGCTCGACAGTGTCAAACGATATGTCGCACTGTCGCCTAGAAATGTCGCGGTAAAAAAGGGCGACATTTAAGAAATGTCGCTTCGCGTTGTCGAGTGTCGCTTCGCATTGTCGAGCGTCGCTTCGCGTTGTCGCGATGTCACTTCGCGTTGTCGCGATGTCACTTCGCGTTGTCGCATTGTCACTTCGCATTGTCGAGTGTCGAGGTTGGTAGAAGTGCATACCACGACACTCGACAATGCGAAACGACAACGCGACAATGCGATACGACGCTCGACAATGCGAAGTGACACTCGACATCGCGAAGCGACATTTTTATAATGTCGAGTAAATGTCGCGTTATTTTTATGATTTTTACACCGCGACGCTCAACATTGCGAAGCGACACTCGACAATGCGAAGCGACACTCGACAACGCGAAGCGATACTCGACAACGCGAAGCGACACTCGACAATGCGAAGCGACATTTGGAATAATATCGTATCGCATTGTCGTGCGTCTACCGGTGCTTGGTCAGAATTTACTAACTCACCGACAAACGGTGCGATCATGGAAGGGGTCGCACTAAACTGCTGACGAATTAGCTGACGATATAGAATATATAGGAAACTGCTGACCAGTTAAACAAAGAAGGATTATCGAAAACTGCTGACCAGTTAGATAAAGAAGGGAAAACAATGAAGGTGTCAAATTGCCGTTGGTGATATTAAAGGCGAGGTCGAGAAATACTTGATAAAATGTTTTTTCAAGATGTCAATATTACAAATGATACATATTAATTATAAAAAATTCAATTGATATATACTGTATATTTCTCAATTTATTTTGATATAATATTTTATTTAAGTACCTTAATGAATTTTCTTCTATGTGTTATATATTGGTTAAAATTTTAAAAATGTAGTCAAAATATGATGTACGAAAAATCATAATTTGTTTCAAGTATGTATAAAACTATGCATCATAGGTTAAAATATATACATGTACATATACGTAATGTATATTTTAACAAAATATAATTATTATGTCGTATTTAGTGCAAATATGAAATAAAGTGATTTCTGTTTCCTTATTTGTTGTTCGTATAATTGTATAAGTAATATTGAACAAAAATTAATAATGTGCTAATTGTTATAGTTAATAAGCTTTTATTACATTATAAACAACATGTTTCCACAGATATCCATTAAACTGATAATTTATCGAGATCGATATGCCCCAAGGTCATATTAAAATCGATTTCACACGCGACGTGTCATTCTTGATTTATCTATGACAAAATACAATAAACAGTCAAAAATATGTTATTAAAATGCTGACCATATTGTAGAATCTGCTGAAAAGTTAGATATATAGAGAAAAATATATTTAAATGCTACGAAATTGTTACTCATTATGCAAATTTAATATATTTTATAAAATAATGTCGACATTTAATTAAGTAAAAACACTGCTGACCAATTTAATGTTAATTCAAATTGATTTAAGCCGTAAAACTCTCTTATTCTATATGGTCAGCAAATTTAACGCTCTTTACATTCAGGCGAGAAAATGCTGACCAGTTAAACATATAGTAGAATCTGCTGACCAGTTAGATATATAGGGAAACTGCTGACCAGTTAGATATATAGAGAAAAATATATTTTGCCGTGAAATTGTTATTCATTTTATAATGTATGCAAATTCAATATATTTTATAAAATTATGTCGACATTTAATTAAGTAAAAACACTGCTGACCAATTTAATATTATTTCAAATTGATTTAAGCCGTAAAAGTCTTCTTATTCTATATGGTCAGCAAATTTAACGCTCTTTACATTCAGGCGAGAAAATGCTGACCAGTTAAACATATAGTAGAATCTGCTGACCAGTTAGATATATAGGGAAACTGCTGACCAGTTAGAAATATAGAAAAAAATATATTTTGTCGTGAAATTTTAATTCATTTTATAATGTACGAAATTCAATATATTGTATAAAATTTTGTCGACATTTAATTAAGTTAAAACACTGCTGACTTATTTAATATTAATTCAAATTGCAATTATTGCTTTTGAAAATACATTCTTTTTCCGTTACAAGATTTTTCTATTGAAATATCACTAACAAGAGATTTTGATAAAACTCATAACATCATAATTCTTTATAAAACATTAATTCAAATTTTTGCATATCTTTAGAGGTATAAAAAGCTGTTTAATATATCCTTTTAAAATCACGGATTTGTATTACATGTAGTAATGTAAATCCGTGTTAAAATGTATGATATTATGGAACTTTAAATGTATATATTAATTTAGTTTATAAACATAGTCATATAAATGCAAAAATTAAAAATATAATTAAAAGAATAAAAGTAATTTCCCATCTTTTTATTACCCCCTACGGCGTGTTTATATAACTTCACACCTTCAATGTTTCCCTTCTTTGTGTAACTGGTCAGCATTTTCTGATAATCCTTCTTTATTTAACTGGTCAGCAGTTTCCTATATATCTATATCGTCAGCTAATTCGTCAGCAATTTAGTGCGACCCCTTCCATGATCGCACCGTTTGTCGGTGAGTTAGTAAATTCTGACCAAGCACCGGTAGACGCACGACAATGCGATACGATATTATTCCAAATGTCGCTTCGCATTGTCGAGTGTCGCTTCGCGTTGTCGAGTATCGCTTCGCGTTGTCGAGTGTCGCTTCGCATTGTCGAGTGTCGCTTCGCAATGTTGAGCGTCGCGGTGTAAAAATCATAAAAATAACGCGACATTTACTCGACATTTTAAAAATGTCGCTTCGCGATGTCGAGTGTCACTTCGCATTGTCGAGCGTCGTATCGCATTGTCGCGTTGTCGTTTCGCATTGTCGAGTGTCGTGGTATGCACTTCTACCAACCTCGACACTCGACAATGCGAAGTGACAATGCGACAACGCGAAGTGACATCGCGACAACGCGAAGTGACATCGCGACAACGCGAAGCGACGCTCGACAATGCGAAGCAACACTCGACAACGCGAAGCGACATTTCTTAAATGTTTTTACCGCGACATTTCTAGGTGACAGTGCGACATATCGTTTGACACTGTCGAGCGTCGCTTCGCATTGTCGCATATCGCTTCGCGTTGTCGAGCGTCGCTTCGCATTGTCGCGATGTCACTTCGCATTGTCGTGTGTCTACCCTTAGACGCGACGGACGACATTCTAAATGGCACGATAAGGACACCGTAGTTATCCTATATATATTTCACTTTAGATACAATTCGGTTGTGATGGACTTTAATACTAGATTGTTATGACTTCAATAAAAATGTCTTGTTATTTTATTTGCTCATTTCAGTAATTTGAAATGCGAAACGGATGTTTCGACGTCAGGAACAAACCAGGTTTTGTTTTATTTAGAATATGAATCGGTAGAACCTAGATACGACCATCTTCATATATACACAGATACCAGTATGTTCAATTCTATTAGTTAATTATTTTAGCATGTTTAGACATATCTTACACATTTCTGTGGTGCCTTCATGCCTGAGGACTTAAGTTTTATGATTTTTAAACATTTAACTTACCGAAATCTGATAAAAGTCAGCTCCTAGATATTGCTATGCTACATGTAAGAAATAAATAGATTTGAACTTAAGTCAGATTGCCCCTCGCCGCTGAAGGTTCAAGTCCCTCATGGACAGGTAAATGGTACTTATGGAAGGTTGCTTGTTTTTGTTCATATGCCAGCTCACATGTCAATACAAGACTGAAATAATGTCCGAAGGAGCACTTGACTTATTTCTCCTTCCGTTGATTATTTAAAGCTTGACAGTCACAATTATGATATTTACTTGCCGATGTGACTTAAACCACGCCCATCATCGTTAACGACCTAAATCTGTTATCATATTACTAGTAGTCTATTCATTTTGATTCTAAGAGGAGTTACAGTAAGTCTATTTGAAATGACGAATTGTTGATTCTTAGCATTGCAATGTTTACGAAAAGCAAAACACCGAATTTACTAAATGTGTTACATATGAGATGATGCGTTAACATTATATCTTCATTTGTACAAAATACCAGAGACCAAATATTTACGTATTTATATTCTATGGTATTTTCTAGCTGATGTAGACAACAGGTGGTACGATTCGGACCGGAATTATGCCCCGCGAATCCTTGTGTCAACTGGAACCACTCTTATTGCTGATTTTGAAACCGACTCTTCCTTAACTCTGGGTGGCTACAAAATCAGTTATATTGCAGTTGACTTGGTGAATCAAGGTAAGTCTATCATTGTATTTCAAAGGAGTGACGAGATCAACAGTATGACACAATATTTGATATCTGTTCTACTAAGGGTGGCGGTGGCCTTGTGGTTAAGGTGTTTGCTCTCTTATGAGGGATCATGGTTTAGTATGGAAAGCTTTGACTGTCTCATAATAATAATTCTAAACGTTGTTATGTCCAAATAGCTTTATATAGAGTCAACTTGACAATTCTTTAGGAGTTTAGAACCTCCCGGGATTCCCTCAAGTCTTGAGATTTTATCACGTGTACTTCAACTGTTGGGATATAGACAGTATAATGACAAAAGCACACGATGTAACGATGTTTGCACTTCATTTAAAGCAGTGGTTGTATAATAATAGATTCACATCGTATAATGAAAAATTGACATAATATATTGATAAGTTGACATTATAGAATGATGATATCACATAATGTATGCATAAATACACATCGTTTAATAATAGATTCACATCGTATAATGAAAAATTGACATAATATATTGATAAGTTGACACTATAGAATGATGCTACCACATAATGTATGCATAAATGCACATCGTATAATAATAGTTTCACATTGTTTAATGAAAGATTGACATAATATATTTATAAGTTGACATTATAGAATGATGCTATCACATAATATATTCATAAATGCACACGTATAATGTTTGGTCGACATCATATAAAGACACATTGACATCATATATTATTCAATTTAATTCATATAAGTATGCATCCACACAATGTATTCATGAGTGTATAAAGAAAGAGTGACACAACAACGTTTATTTTTATAATCATAAGACAGTCATAGTTTAGGGCTCTTCATTGGACCCCTCCATATTGGCTTATAAGGCACAACCATATTGAATAATATGGCATAAGTTGTAAGGGACGAATTCGAAGGTGGTGCTAATAATTTCGAACTTTCATCATATTTAAGCGAAAACTAAGCTATGTGTCAACTAAACAGATGTAGATTTATATGGCGGGGATTTATGGTTTTCCTTATTTGTCCAGACTGACATCAAATATTGTAAAGTTGCCGCTTTTGCGTATATTTGACGGACCTTTTTGGCGCACCGAAAGAGAGCTGTAAATGTCAACCACCATAAAAAGTCAAATTGATATATACATTGTATTAAATATCCAGATGTGGCTAAAATTCATGGAAAAAAATGCTTATTGATTGGGAGAAAGTTTTACGTTGCAGTGTCTCAACTTCTCGATAAAAGAATTGTTCGTTAAAACAGAATACTCGTTAGAACAAGGTAGCCGTAATGTAATAAATTCGTCATACACATATGAACGAGTTGTTAAAATTGGAGTATTTATAATAAAGTTTGTCTTCATGTGTACCATATTTTGACTCTTATATAACTGTCTTAAATTTATTCACAGAAAGTTGTGGGAGCACAATAAATGCAACGTCATCATATCAACAATTAGCCAAAGTATATTATTCATATCGATCGTAAGTATGTGATTTCTTAACATATCATGATGCCGTATACGTCGGAATTTTTCGTGTAATAGCCCGTAAAAATCGCGCTATTTATGAATTTATGAAAAAAATGCGAGGCTTTCATAATCACACAAAACAAAGGCACGTTCTTGAGTAGCATAGCTATTTATCATTATTACCTGATAAAATGTGACATTTGATGCTACATAAACTATTGAAAACGTCTTAAAATGATCAAATTAACGTATTACATTTTAAGATGTCGCCTTTACTACACATAGTGTAATGATGTCGCCTTTACTACACCATAGTGTAAAAGATGTCGCCTTTACTACACCATAGTATAACTACAGCTTTCTTTCAGAAATACATGTTCATGGACCATTGTGCCCATTGACACATCCGGGTCATATACTGTAGAAGTTTCTTTTCTTCTCATCAAAGGAACGCTCGAAATAGAAGATGGCGGTGGTGAGTATTTTATTAGTTCGGAGTCCAGTCAGTGTCAATCTCAAACAAAAATCTATCGAAATCATTTGTTTATAAATACTATATGTAATGAAATGGAAATATGAGAAAACAAACAAATGCACCATTGCTCGTCAAATTTTTTCGCAACTTTATACACAACGGCACTCAGCTCCACATAAGAAATTATAATAAATTTATAGATTTTATTTATTTGGGTCGTCAGACCAAACAAATAATGGTAGCGAAATTTCATACCCTGATGTTCTTATTTGCAAATGCCGAAAGTAGTTCAAACTCCTCGAAGCGGTTACTTCCCTTCATATGTACATTAACGCCGAAAAAATAAGGGGAGACCACTGGGTAAAGATTGTCAAATGACAGGCGCATTAATTTTTGTAACAGAAAAATAGTTCCCGTTTGGTCGAAGATTTCCAATATTGTGTTATTCTTATATATGCTTATAATCATCTCCGTGATTATTTACTTCAGTGTTAAACAACATGTTTATCGTGAACGAAATATATCAAAATTAATAAGGGTTACAAACTCTAGTTTAGAATAACATGGTATTCTTAAGGCTGTTTTCTTATAACCCCGCGTGGTCGAGGGGTTTACTCGCTCGCTTTAGAAGCGAGAGGTCTGGAGTTAAAATCCTAGTTCAGGCAACTCATGTTTTGTTTGTTTTTTTATTAATTGTTTAAGCCAAATATATATTGAATTGAATATCAGTGTTGTAATTAGTCTTATATCCAATTTACTATAGTTATAACACTGGAAACAGCATTGGTGACACTATACAAACAAATTGGTTTACAATCACCTTTCTGACATTCTGAGACCCAAACAAATTCAGCGCCTTCTGTGGTTTTGATTTACAACTGTTGTCAATCAAAATGTTCTCTTATTTATAGCTTTGTTATCAAGTAATATTATATATCTGTGACAATGATCATAAATCTTCCGGAAATAGAAGACGGAGACGGAGATATTGATTATAAATCATCCAGGAAAAGCGGTTAGACAATGACCCGACAATGTGTTTAAATCGGTGTAAAATCAGACAAACATTTATTTCAAACTTCGTTAATGTGTGCCCAATTTTATAATTTAAATGCGCCATGTCTGCTTTAAATGTTTGATGCAATATCCACCATGCAAACCATCGTGAACAGTCGTGACTATGGTTTCTCTTATTCCTCCTGATTGAGAATTTAAAGGTTTCGTCAGGTTTCCTCGTAAAATTCATTTATACATGTTAAGTAGAGGAAGGAAAATTAAATTGCTATGAAAGAATTAACGTTTGTCCGAAATTAACTTATTGCATCGAAACTATTTTGTAGTAATTTTGACACCAAGGCTGGTAAAGCCCCTATTGCCATCACAGTGTCTTACTATGTTGTTGTTTTTCCATTTATTTGAGGCACTGCAGGCGCAACAAAATAATGAGAAGTTGCATTTTGAGCAAAATGGCTGTTTTCATTGAAAGGCCTTCTGTTTCAAGTTCAAATTGCTATGGAACTATAAAAAAGGCTCTAATACTGATCAAACTTGGCACAAATATTGACTGGACCACACCCTTTGTAACGACATACTCAATTTTAAATTTCTTGTTTCCATGGCAACGAGGGGACATCATAAAATTGCCAAAATCACTATTTTGCGTTAATTTTTAATCAAAACTGATTTCGTCTCAATTGATTGTGAGATAAAGTCAAATCCTTTTCAGCGTCAGTTAGTAATTACCCTAAGATCGACCTAAGGCCATTTTTAGCCTGTCACATGTCCAAATTTTACTTGTAGATGAGGGGTCTGCCGACCTCCTTCAAACCCCCAAGCCAAAAGGGGCACATCCCCCCCCCCCTCTGGCACCCTCTTGATGTATCTGTTTGATAGGGGATGGCGCCAAAAAATGTGATCACTGTTATAACTATTTCTTAAACGAAAAAAAGTTTTTAGGGGTCTTAATAGGGCATTATTCACCATTTGAGGCCTCAAAGGGGGTGAAAAGGCGTCTATATGGAGTAATGGGTTATTAATATAGTAAAAGTGTAAATATTTTGACAATTTATATGACCCATTTTAAACGGTTGTAGTTTATATAACCCGAGTCTTAAAACCAATTCACGCACATACTGTATAATAAAGAATCACTGAAAGTGTTCTGTTTTTTTTAATAATAAATACTATATTTGTCAAGGTTATCCAATGAAAACCAACATTGCAAAACTGCAATACCATTGCAATCATTAGTTTTTCGTTCCAGTCTCAACAACTTTCATGTTACCGAATCAAGTGTATGTATCCCCGTCGAATCCAGCAAGTGTGACTGTTTCTGGAGAAACCCTCTCTGAGTTCGTCATTCAGTACAGACAAGTCCTTTCCAGCGTTACTGGTAAGTAAATGTAGTTTAGTTACGTCTAGCAACTAATACCATTAATATCATGTTTTATTGCTCGTGAATTATGTCATACATGGCATGTCGTTTGTCACGATTATTTCAAAAATTATTTCATAGAATATATTCAAAATATACACTGACAAATAGTGCTCAACATATCTTCCTAACCCTGGTGTAAAACGGAGATTTTGACTTTTGGGTTTCCAAACTGGTTGTTATTGCTTGCGCCGCCCTGCAAGAGCAGTCAAAAAAGGCACGCAAGACAAAACTGACGTAACTTTGGTCATTAAAACAATCATCAGATTGCCACTGCAAGTATTTCGCCCTTCTCCGGGGTTTGGGAATAAGGCCAATGTTTTTATCGACTGGTGTTTTTAAACATTTTCTTTAACCCATTACCGCATGAGCATTTTGTGAAAAATGGCTGTTTGCTTTGAAAAGTCTCCGCTTACAAGTTCAAATTGCTATGAAACTAAATGCTTCAATACTAATCAAACTTGGCACAAATGTTGACTGGATCATTGCCTTTGTAACGGCATGCTTAGTCATACATTTTCTGTTATCATGTAGAAAATCACTATTTTGCATTGATTTTTTCAATCAAAATTGATTTCAAAATGCTTCAACTTCTCAGTGGGTTAAGACAGAGCCAAAGACTTTTCAGTGTTGGTTACACGTTACCTTATGACTGACCTGAGGTCATTTTAGCCCCTTAACCCCTAAGCAAAAGGGGGCGCATCCACCATCTGGCACCCCCAATCAATCTTTTGGATAGGGGGCGGCGCCGAAAAAGTGATCACAAATGTAAAACTACATTTCTCAAATAGAAACAAGTGTTGGGGGCCTAAAAGGGCATTTTTTCACCATTTGAGACAACAAAAAAGGGGGAGGGGAGTGATACAGGCGTAGAAAGGCGTATATATCTGGTAATGGGTTAAACACAATTTTTATTAAAGGATTTAGGTTGACTATTTGTCATAATTTTATTTTAATACACGAACATTAATTTGATTTATCACAGGTGTGTTTATCACGACCACGCCTGCTGCAGATAACTCGGTATGTGGTAGCAGCACAGTGGTATCAGAGACGTATAAACAATACCTCACGTCACCAAATTATCCAGGTCAATATCCAAAGTAAGTGTTTTTTTGACGATTTTAATTCTCGAATTTATCTATTCTGTCCAAAAAATACACCATGCATTTTGTTCACATTGCTGCATCTTTGTAAGAGACAATACCTTGTGTCTTCGCCAACGGTCATTTGTAACTGTTAGACCGTTCATGAAATTTCTGATATAGCATGAGTACCAACCTTTACCAAACCACTCTGTGTGTGCCATGACAGTATTTTCCCTGTTCTATTTCTGAACATCTATTGAAAAGTAACGATTTGTCTTTTTATCTGTTTTCAGTAACTTGGATTGTACACTGACAATCGAAGCCAACGACACCAGCCAGTCTGTGCTGCTAAACGTAACTGACTATGAAATTGCTACCAGTGACTATTTACTAATTTATGATGGTAAGGAGCAAAAAAAAAATACGGTGTACTAGAGGTGACATGTCTGCCATATAAAAAACTCGAAAAGTAAAAATATTAAGTTTTAAAAATAATTCGGTGTTGGTGTGGAAAGGACTAACAGTTGTATGGATCGTTGTCATCGTCTAGCTTACAACATACCCGTAACAGTTTGTTGGATATTCAAAGATAACTTATCATTCTTTTCTGTTCCTTTTACATAGCATATCTGGCAAGCTGGTTAAATATTACATAGTAATAATACAATATGCTTTCATTGATTTCCTTTATAAGCTGTCTATACGTGTTTTGTTGTAATATGCGATAATTGTTTTAATATTAATAAAAGCAAAGTATAGTAAATTAGCTTCGATAGTCACATTGCGTTATTATTTGGTAAACTGTTGTAATTTGCGTTATCATTTGGTAAACTGCTGTCGGTTCATTTAATCCAAGGAAACAATCTTATGTTTCCCCACAATATATCATTTGCTCTATTTCTGTCTATTTTCAGGACCAAGTACACAATACAACTTGATAAGCAGCAGCAATATACATGATATACAGATCGGAATGACATTTAATAGCTCTGGTTCAAGCCTAACGTTGACATTTACAACGAATGACTTTGCCCAGCTTAGAGGGTTCGAGCTTTCTTATCAAAGCATGAACAGGGGTACGTCAAAATTGTATATGATATCGCTTTTTTGTTGTTGTTTTTAGTGGAATGCTGAGGTATAAGCATTATCGGCGGCGTATCCTTTGTAATATTTTGAGGAGGTTGTTTTTTTCTAATTAGCGCGTCACTGTTAGATAATAACGAGTCCTGTTGCCTTCTGATGTTGTAATGCATTACACTAGCGCAAGTTTGTTAATTAAATGTGTACATGTAATACGTAAAAGTTCGCGACTGATGATTTTCAACTTTCTTTTTCATTTAACTGTTTAATATTATTCACTTTTGTTTTGCTTTCCTTCGCGGCTTTGCTTCGGTTTGGTTTGGTTTGCTTCGGTTTGGTATTGTATTGTATTGTTTTGTATTTTTTGTTTTGTATGTTTGTTTGTTTGTTCGTGTGTTTGTTTGTTTGATTTCTTAAGTATTATTTATTATATATTTTTATCAATTTAACTATTTATTTATTTTTATTTACTTGTTTGTTTGTTCATTTAATATCTACTTATTTATTTGTTTATTCAGTGTTTATCGCTTAGTATTATGTTCGATTGTTTAATAATTTATAATAACATACAATAATGAGATAAGATATACTGAATTCCCTAATTTATTGATTTTGGATCTCTATTGTTGCTGTTTTTGTAGCAACACCACAGTGCAGTGATGTATTTTCCCTCCAGTCAACTGTGACATCGAGCAATACAGAACAAACAATACAGTCACCTAACTATCCAAACGTGTATGACCGGTAAGTCCACATTTATTTTATTTGTTACCAGACGACATCCACTTTTAACAAATGGTTAAGCATTTATTTGTTCATACTTTTGTAAGTTAGTATGAAAGAAACGACTTTATTCAAGGAAGCTAGCACATTCGTTTTCCCGATCTTCCATTTGGGCCTCAGCTGATGCTGATTTTAGCTCATATATGTTCTCAATCGATTCCTATCATTCATTCTAACTTATCTATTGTTTGAACACTTCCTTTTACATCCTTTTTAATTCTTCGAAATGCTTAGATTTGAGTAAGTAATCATGATCAAAATAGAACACTGCTAGAATCCTGTTACTACGGTGGCATACACGGGACATCAGAAATATTTTATCTATCACGTGCGCACGCAATAGCTACTACGTGCGCACGTGATAGTTACTATGTGCGCACGCGATAGTTACTACGTGCGCACGCGATAGCTCCTACGTTGGTCAATCATTACGTGCGCACGTGATAGATTTTACGTGCGCACGTGATAGATTTTACGTGCACACATAGTAACTATCGCGTGTGCTCGTGGTATCTATCGCTTGTGCACGTGGTAGATATCGTGTGCGCACGTGGTAGATGGCCCCCTTATGCCACCATATTTTACACCTCATATCGAACTCTGTTTGTTACATTTGAGTATGTAATTATGTATATCTTTGGTTGCACACTAACAAAACCTCTCGGGAGATATTACGTTTCATTTAAATCTCGTATAATTGTAATTACTTTTTTTATTTTATTTACTCAAAGCAACACTGACAAGGTTCATCAGATACATTTATACATAAAATCCTTCATTTAACTACTAATATATTAAACCATTATTTAAACATACGATGATAATCACCATGTATCATCCTTTGTTTTACAGAAACGATGACAAATATTGGCTCATTGTCAAGCCGACCGAGTCCAATAATGTCGTATTGGATTTCCGAGTATTTGATGTAGAATATGCAGATAATTGCGTGTACGATTATGTGAGCATTTATGATGGTGAGTTTTACATTTTGTTATTTTTTCGTTCAACCAAAACTCGATCAAAGAATTTTGTATAAAAACGGAATGTTTTTCCCTACAAAACAAAAGGTATAGAGCTGACGAAAAATCTGTACACTCACGTTGTTTGCAAATTCTTATGGTCATGTCTGGGATGAGTTTCAAACAAGTTTCAGTGTTATTCAAACGCACAATCTATAAAATGCATGTATAAAAAAACTACGGTGTCCCGTTTGTAGCATCAGGACATACACATGCATAACTCGAAACAACGAAAAAAGTCGATATAACGATAGCACGATGTTGAAAAATCGATATTCATGTAATTTCGTGTTTTCACCATCGTACTTTCCACGTTCCGTAACAAAATATTTCAGCTGCTATTTTTGTACATTCACATTTAATTGTGTATATGAGATGCCACCTATTATATCTGAAATTAACAAACGCCATCCTTGCATCTTAAGTATTTGCAATATTTTTTTTTTTTAAATATAAACAAATATCTCTCTAAGCATTAATAGTTTCGGTTTCTACATAGTCTTATAAAAGAAATAGCATGTTTATGTTGATGAAACGTTGTAGAATTTCGTCAAAATTAAGTCAAAAGTTGTTTGTCTTTCTTTAGACTGGTCATAAATGTGTTTTATAAAGTGGTAATAATTAATTTAGAACATTTAAAATGCTTATCACCAGAAGTAAATACCGTCGATTGTAGAAGGTAGAAAATGTAAACAAAGTGGAATTTTAAAATTCATTAAAAATACTGGATCGGTTTAACTATACTTATAACCGAAACGGAAAGGAAGCAAAAACCGAAACGGAAAAAAAAGCAAAAGCCGAAACGTAAAGGAATCAAAAGATGGTTAAGGCTGTAAGGCAAATGTGTAACATTTTGGAAACGGTAAATAGGTTATCAAACATAAAAAAGATTTCGAGAAATAACAATAAAATCATATTTTAGTCTCAAAGGCCCTTTAAAAAAAAGAATATTCATTATATATCAATATTACTTCTCTATATCTATTATTAGAAATATTGTCACAAATCACGTGATTGAAATTCTGAATTATTTACATATTAACGTTTAGAATTCTAACGAAAGTTTGTAAAAGAATAAGCTTTAGGCGTGTTGCTTTAAATATATTTTCCAGGTGCTTGCCCGACTGATCCATTATTGATCAAGGTGTGTGGGAACGACCCTATTACCATAGAGGAACCGACCGGACTTTATATCCTTGTACACTTTCACACGGACTTTTCAATCCAAAAGTCTGGCTGGGAGCTGACACACTACATTGGTAAGTAAAATGTTCATGTTGGCATTAGCTTTAAGATAAAATAAAACATGGTTCACTGTGGAGCGAACAAGCATGAGACGCATGCGCTCTGCCTCTTCCGGCAAAGTAGTCCTCTAAAATTAATAATATCAGTAAGACTAAATAGATACGCAAAGGTGTACAATAACTCATGTAAATATATCCCCAATAAAATTTCTTTCAACAGTTGCATACATAATTGTAAAGGTTGTGTGTTTGGTTATGTTTATCATTTTATGGTTCGGACAGTAAATGTATATCATATTTTCTTTAATAAGATGTAAGTGCTTTCTTAAATTGATTGATTATTTTATCTTACAGGAAGTTACGTGGATCCGGAAGCCGTCAAATCTACGGATGACGGCGACGATGGTCTTCCAGATTATGTGTATCCTTGTATAGCTATCGGCGTACTTATTTTCATATGCGTCCCCGTGATGATCATTATTTACAACAGAAATCAACGACGTGTCGGAGCAGGTGATGGTAAAGAGCTAATAAAAAAACGCACAACGCGTGACGTTTTGAAAGAGATCAATACAGCTACTACTAAAGAAGAAGTGAAGAAGCCGAAAATTAGACGGAAAGAAACCAAATATCACCCTGAACCAAATCCACCTGGATCAAATGCAACTATTATAAACGTAAACGAGGAGAGTCCGCATCCGCCACCTGGCTACACTGATAAGGACAATGTACCGCCTTTTCTGCGTACAGGAGACAAAATACCAGAAAAGAATACAGCACCCGCGTCTACAGGTACGGACGACACACGCCCTGGTCAGGATATACCTCCGATTTTAAATGGCACGGGAACAAAAATGCCAACTCAGAATACAGCACCGGCCTCCACTGATACTGTTGACCAACGGCTTGAACATGATACACCACCGGCTCTGAATGGTACGGGGACACAAATGCAGGATCCAAACTTAGCTCCAGTCACAGATCCTTGCGTGCCTGATTTAAGTTTATACACGGGTCCAGGTATCCCTCCAGCATTCCCATATAAAACCCCAGCGGAGGCACGTGAACTTGGATTGCACGTGTAGCCCGTGGTGTTTATTTGAATGCTTTTAAACACGCTCTAAAATGCTTATGATATAAGAATATGGCGAAATAAAGAAAGAAGTCATTGACACTACACATACTTTAGTATAAAGGAGTATATGTATGTCGTTAAGTGTTTTATTAACATGTTAATTATTTTAAAAAGTAACAATTAAAAATAAATTTGAAGTTAAATGAAATAGATAATGAAACTTTGTCTGCCAGTAATCATGCCTAATATATTATTGACGGTTTATATATGTATGTTATTAAAACGTTTACAAGTTACAGTATCTTTCTATTAAAGGAATAAGAATAAACCAGACTACCACATTTGCCCTTTTTATATTTCGTGTATATAATAATAAAGATTTGAAGTCCATTTTTATTTCCATAATGTTTTTTATTATCTCCGAAAACATATGACAATGCTGCTCAAATATATTTAACCCTTACTTGCTTAAATGGAGTTTTTTAACTTTTAATTTAGAGAAAACCATTGATCATTTCTAAAAAAAAAATTCAAATACGTAGATAGATAGCGGACAGTGCAGACGGGAAAGAAACGTGTCTTTAAATTATAACATGGTATTGAAAACATGAGAGTCGATATCAATCAATCATTTTATTGAAATGCTTCTTTTTAAAATTCACAATAATACGAAAACCGTACTTGTTTTCAAAATATAAAATCAATTTATCCAAGAGTATGAGAAGAATCCATTTTGTAACCAAAACTCACATTGTGCTGCATGGTAACTGCGGAAAGGTTTTGTTTCCGTGTCGAGTTCAGCTGTGACGTCAGGGTATTTTAACCAATCACCTGTAGCAGGCGATCCTGTTTTGACAAACGCCAGGATTTCACTCTGGACATGATTCTCCCATCTAGTGTCAAGCGACTCGGGAGCCGCTCCTAGAACAACATTCATAGTTTGGAAAAATCCAAACACATCGATCCCATGGTATGCGTAATTTACCGGATACTTTGTACCGAATGGTTTTGCTGAGTGCCCTTTTGTGTAATACGTTGCAACGTAACGATAAACTGGTGACGTCATCCCGGAAGCTAGAACGGTTGCCAAATAGTCCGTGGCACAACCGATCCTTGCATCTGTTACCATGGTAGTGTACTGGAACTCTGGTGTGGACACATTTACAGGGTATAAATTCAAAGCAGCCCTAGCTATCATATTATTGAATGTCCCTAGTTTCTTTGTCACGTGATCTTTGTAGTCATTAGTTTGCCATGTCCAATTTTGGAATTTCCTTGGAATCGGGGCCACGTCGACTTCTTGTGCTGTAGTGCCTAAAAAAGAAGTAATTGGAGCATTAAGTGTATGTTTAAATCAAAAGGCTGCAAGCTCTGTGGTATTTTCTGATCTTTGTCATCTAAATCGTACTGTATATCTGAATGTATTTTCCTGTGTAATTTTTTTATGTACTATAATATATCCTGCAGGGCACCAGAGTTTGATACATACGGAATTTTGCATGACTAGAGTTGAATTAAAAAATCATTTATGTTCATTTTTTATGACAGCAACACTTTATCCTTGCATATCGTGGCTACTTCCTTAACAAAGACAATTAAAAGAATAAAAAGGAAATTGTTGCCTCGACTGCGATTTGAACCCTAGACCTCTCACACTCTATACGAGCGCGTTACCCCTGCAACACGGAGAATCATATGAAGAAAGCCTGAATAAAATCAAGAAATTCTAAATTTAGAATTTCCATTGCATTTCGGGTTTGTATTCTTTATTTATTGCGAGGTATTTTGTTCACGGTAAACCTGTTGATAAACATTGATGTGAATAATTTAGCGAAAATCTTCTCGCCAAAACAGTCCGACATGTATATATTCCACTACTCGACAGTCAGATTTATTTGTGTAATACGCTTTTTAGTATTCAGTAATCGACAGCGCTAAAAATAGCATTTTCATTGATTAAAATCATATTCATCCGCGTATTTGTGATATTCTTTAAGCCAACGCTACTTTCAAACGTTCATTGCGTTGTAATTTGTTGGATACTTGTAACAAAATGAAAATATTTCTTTCTTTTAAATCGCTAGTTTTTAGCTGTTTTAAGAACTAATTGTTGTTAGGTTTGTCGTGAAGCGCTGTGTCAGAGATTGAATTTCAGCTTTGTATTTCCTGATCTTCGAACAGAAAATACAAAAACGAAAACTTGATGTGCTGATCATTATTAGATTAGAAAGGAAATGCGTGGTTTGTTAAAGGAAGATTTTGACTTTCTTTATCTTTTAATTTGTTAAGTATTTGCAAAGGAAAAGAATTTGCCCTTTTTTAAATTTTAAACTAAGTACTGACTGAATAGCGTACAGCGTAGACCAAAATCAGAAGGCACAGCTGTGCTGATTGAGATTGATCTGCACTGGTCGTATGCGTAGAAGGGCATGGGTTAAGATAACACCAATGTAACTGATTATCTTCTTGCATCTAAAATATTTCATCATGATAGATAAAATCTAAATGGAAAGCTAAGTATCTTTATGAATAAGCTCAACATTTGGTTATAACTTTTTATGTGAAAATGATCTCTGCAAAAAATGAAGTGTGTACTACTTAAAAAATAAATGTTGCTCTTTCTGTTGATATTAGAAAACCTTTTATAAAGTCTTTAGAAGTTCAAACCTATCATCACCGGAACATCTACACCATTACCACGTGACCAAGTGTCCAACGGTGGCTCCAGTAGAACATAACCTAACAATAAATCAAGGTGATTTTTAAAAAAAATATAGAATGCATGACATGGTAATTGTAATAATTCAACTGGATGATTTTTGTGATAGACGCTTAAGAGAGCTTTAATGTTGTCATACTTTTCCGAACATTCGAGATCATTGATTCCGGTACATTCAGTATACAGCTTAAGCCGGTGCATGAGGGGCATGAGCTGTGCACTTTTCTTTTTCCCTCATGAGCAGACTTTTTATAAATCTTCAAATCTAAACATTCTTAGATTTCTGTTGCCGTCAGCTTTTGCCTTGGCAATGATATATCAACAATATTTAGATGATTTATCATGTCTGATAGATTTCTATCCAGACAAAGACATTCAATGCTCATTTATTTTTAAACATTTAGCTTGTAACGTTTATAAGCTTATTCTAGGTATAAAGATATTTAAAATAAACATTTAACAATCTATACCATCGATCACGATTAAGGCACCATCAAATTTTCCAAACTCAGGAAGACTAAGAATATCTTCCATTGCCCAGTAAGGATAAACGCCCCACGGTATGTTAATTATAACGTCATATGCTGGAAGTTCATACAAACAAGACACGTCACTGCACCCAGTGTTCTTAATGAAAATTTCATTGTCTTTGAAGGCCTCTTCAGCTGTTTTATTCATAACCGGCGAAGCGCCCATTATCAACACCTTGTCAAAAAGACCTTGGCAAAGCGGCGAAGAAAGAAGAGCTATCAGTGATGTTCCACCAGAGCTTTGACCAAAAGCCGTAACCTATTAAAGATATCATTTCCATAAATAAACTTTGTTTTGTTAAGTTATCAAATCGCTAAACGTGATAGATACAACATGATAAAGTGCGATAAAAATAGGAATATGTGTATATTGAAGAGTCAATGCCGTCCAAAGATTGTTGTAAACTAATTTCATATGTAAACCATTTGCTATGTCTAGGTCAGCATGTGTTGTTTTGAATAATCCTTTTAAAGTTCCAGTTATGCCAAAAATGAATGCTACTAGCAAGAGATGTTTGCAATTATATTTTCCATTAGTTTTACCACATTACCATTGTACTGAATTTTATCATAATGGTCAAATTGACGCCAAGTCATTTCAGTGGTTATAGTTCATATGATATTAATATCATTGTGAGATCAAACTTAAATCCCATAAATTAAAGTTTTGCACAAGCTAAAAATGTAAAAATTATAATTCTTACCTGATTCGGATCGCCACCAAATTTATGAATGTTTTTCTGAACCCAACGAAGTCCTTCAATCATATCCATGAAACCATAGTTACCGGAAGTATTCGTTGATGAATTGTTTTGAAGCCATTTTAAAGCCATGAATCCAAACGCATTCAGTCTGTAATTTATACTGACAAATACAACGTTTAGTTGTTTAGCCAATGCTAATGTCGGGGCATAGCCAATATTGTACTGGTTCCCGTTTCCATACAAGAGATAACCGCCATGAATCCAAAACATTACCGGAAGCTTAGCAGACGAATTTAATGTCGGCGTTAAGACGTTCAGATAAAGGCAATCTTCGTTTCCAAATACAATTGAATGGTTTTCTTTATCTCTCTGTACACATTGGCTTTGGAAGTTATGAGCTTGCAATATTCCTTTCCAGCAATTACGGTTTTTTCTCCGAACTGGTACTGGCGGTCGCCACCTTAAATTTCCCACTGGTGGACTGGCGTACGGGATTCCACGGAAAGAAAATCCAGCGCTGGATTTTGACCAAACACCGTCAATTTTCCCGCAATTTATGGAAACTTTTGCTCTAGGAATTGCAGGTGATATAACAGTTCCAGAAATTCCTGTAGAAAACGTCAAAACTGTTAATGTTACAAGCAAATATTGGCACCAACGTTGCATGATTTTAACTTAGATGAACCGTTACCGTTGATGAATGTTATATGCAGTTCGAAGCAAATTACTTGTCAGATAGTTTAATGCTATCAATAACAGAGGAAAAAGTCTCAATGTTATGAAGATAGCAATACATATAATATACCCCAACCATCTGCTTAATCCATATTGTAATATAAGCTCAGCGTAACAACTGTACGAAACACCATACAAATGTTGCTAAGAAACAGATTTACAAGTTTGTTAAAACTTCAAATACCTACAAGTGGTAATTATATACATTTTACTAAAAACACAATCCAACCTTTGAAACATCTTATGACTTATGTATACAGTTATTTGCTTTAAAGCAGCAGCTGTATGGTAAAGTGTATAATATATCGCAAAGTTTTTTTTTGTGGGGTAGTAAAACAAATGTAATCAAAACATATCACCAAAGGCAATGAATCTCTTCCTTGACTAAGGTGACACCTGACACCACGGAAAGTTGGTATATCAATATAAGGTATGCTCCTTCTCGTTCCAAATATAAAAGACAATTGTCAATACGTGAAGGCTATATGAGCAAAAGTGTAAAATTGTATTTAAGCATAGATGGCATTGGCTTTCAATCAACTGACCCAAGTTTCACTCAACGTTAGATGTCTACCTTTTAAATATGAAAAAATCGGCAAATAAATGAAAAGGGAAAAACTAGGAAAACAGTTAGACAATGCGATGGAGCACTGACCACGGAACTACGTAAGAACGAGTCCCTAGATTTTTTGTGGGGGAGCATGAAAAAGATCAGATATAAAATCGCATTTAGGTACATCTTACGCAGATTAACACCCTTTCAGATGTAAAGATGTTGGGTTGTTGCTTAAAGTCATTAGATAGATAAAATGTACATGTGTTACAGAGTTTTATTTAGGAAAGCACTGATGCTGCTGTTAAATTTATGGTTATTCTTATCTGAGTATTTGAAGTTAACCGAGGTAATCGGTAAGGAAATTGAAGTGATTTGTAGAGAAAACCTGTTCACTATTAAACGTAACCATGGACAGAAATATTGACCATACTTGTGACTAGAGGGTTTAAAACTTTCCTTTATTTATCCTCATGTACAACTTCAATCAAGGTGTGAAAGCATGTCACTATATTCGTTAGTTTTATTGCTTTCCATTTTTAAACATTTCTTTTCTCTGTGTTGATCGGAAGCTGCTTCTGTCAGATACTTGAACATTAATCAGCTTAGCATTCCTTTCATGACTTCAAATGTATTTTTTGTTTGTTCTTTAACGTCCATGGCTTTAAACAAGACTTTATTATCGTTTACAAGATAAATCAAACGAATTAATTTTCATTTCTGATTGAAGGCAGTTTTTGAAAAACTCTTTCGTTGTAAAATACTCCTTTCAAGTAATAATTTAAAAAATACATCAATTGTAATAATGTAATTTAAGATGCACTTTAATTTCAACTTTGCAAATGATCGACTATGTGTTCCCGTGACCAAGTGACCAAGTCATTTTCTGCAAATCACTTACTTCTCAGCGGTATGAGTAAGAATCTCAACATGGACATAGGATTTATTTCGTCGTTTTACAATTTAATATCAGGAAGTATATACAATGCAATTGCTGAACATTTGACTCTTTATTCCATCCAGAAAGAAAAAAAAACACTGATTTTATAACTGGTCCATTGGTTGGTCCAAAATAAAACTTTATCTAATATAAATTAGCACCTATATAAGAAGCTAAGATGAGGGGCGTGGTAACGTTTTTGGTAGAAGAAAGCAGCATGCACATTTTCAAATTAATATTTTGTTTTTAATAAAATCAAGCTTTACTCGATAAGAACCACACCCTCCATTTCAATACAAATGTTTGTCATTTCCTGTCGAAAGTCTATCGTATTTTTAAGGCTATTACAATGTGGGAGTTTTTCGACATGGCTGGAAACAGAATTCTTTATTAGTGCTTATAATCAATGGAAGAAGTTTAGGAAGCAAACTAAAGACAAAGACAATGTTGACCATCAGCATTCCGTTAACGGCGCTGACATTGTTATGACATGTAGTAAGGTTCAATTTCATTTATGTGGAACATAAAACTGGAACTTTATCTGCTTTAAAGCAATTATGATTTAAGTTTCCCTTAATTTATAGTTTCAAAATATTGAATTTGTGTAAGGCATATATTATCATATATTATGTATATTATGTAGTATCATAGTTTCGCCAAACCTTAAATAAATCATGAAAACATATGTTGTCCTCTTGTTTGATGTTGGAATAAATTTGAAAGTAATTTTTAAAAATAAGTTACAGAAAATATAGGAATTTATTAAATGTCGGCGTTAAGAAATTCAGGTAAAGGCAATCTTCATTTTTGAATGTATTCGAATTATTTCATAGGTTTTTCTGAAAGCATGGACTTGAAAACTTACGAGCAGAAATGTTCCATTCTAGCAATTGTTGTTTCAACGGTAACCGCAACCTTAAATCTTCCACAGGTGGACACGGAATGAAAATCACTCGTCTGTTTGTGACTAAATGTCTTTATTTTCCCCGCAATTAATGTAATTATTTGCCATTGAAATTGCAGGTGATTCAACAAATCCAGAAATTTGTTGAAAACGATGAAATTGTAAATGTGACAAGCAAATTTTGGCACCATCGTTGCATGATTTTAATTTAGATAAACGTTTACTATTAACGAATGCATCACTATTATAATAAGTTATGATAATACAGTTGTCGAAGTGCCTTTAATCACACAGTTTTAAGCTATCAACTACAGACGAGAAGAGTCTCATTATTATTGAAAATAGATGTAGTTGGGAACACCATGTAAAGTTTAATAAGAAATAGATTTACAGTTTTGTTAGAAATTTAAATGCATCAATACGGTAATTAAACACATTTAATCAAGAATATATGTTCATTATTCAAATGATTTATAATGATGGTGTAAAGTCACGTGCTTCTCTCAGCTAAGTTGTCAACTGAAAAAAATATCAGAGAGATAACCTGAACCTTATTAAAGTACAATCACTATGAAGTACCTTTATGACTCATACAGTGTTTGATGCTGAGAGATTTTAATCTAGAAAGGTACAATTTAGTGCAAAGTTTATCTAGGGAGGTAAATAAAGGCTGTAAAAAGATGTTTTTGCTCTTGCTCTTCAGGGGCTGCCTCTTGCAGAGCTTGAAATGTGTATCAATATCAGATTTTATAATGTGTCAGTGACACTGTATGATGGTCGGTCTTTCATGTGGTACTGTATATCATTTACCCTATGATTCTCTTTCTCACAAACATTATCTCGATCAACTTTAAAGAAAAGACTCTTATATTGGTAAGATTTTAGACATGACATTATTTCTCTTTTGACTATTTTTGGCTTTTTGAAAAAAGCGGGAGGATAAGAATAAGTCAGACAATTGTTGTTAAAAAAAAGTAATTGCATTTTATAGTCTAAGTTTCATGCTTACGCACGTTTACAGACTTTACAGCTATTATCCCTGGTCATCGGGCTACTGGTATCTGTCTATCAATCTCCCTGGGGAGTCTTTTAACTCCGCTTAGTGCAGCCGACACTTTGGCGCAATGGCATTATACCACCCTCGCAGGTACCCATTTACACCTGGGTGAAGTGAAGCAATCGCAGGTAAATTTCTTGCTCAAGGAAATTAGCAGTGCCCCTGGTGGGGTTCGAACCCAGGACCTATCGATCCCTAAGCACGCGTCTTACCACTGGACTACTGCTCCTGTAGTGATCTGTAGAGAAACAATTAGAAGGCTGATATACGTAACCAGAGACAAAATTTTAATGTGTCGACCAAGGAAGGTTTACAACTTATATGCAAGTCCTCTGCGTCTGGTAAACATCTGGTAGACAGCTGCAATCAAGTTAAACAAGCGAATGTCACTATAAACTTTAACTTGTTTAATTGCATCTGGAATTCTCCATTTTCCAATAGTTTCGTACTCTACAGCAGGTAGAAAATTGCTGATCGGCAGCTGCTGTTTAGAATTAATCATGGGGTAGGGCAAGGAGAATTTATATTCCAATCGAAGCTTCAAATGGACATTGTGTATTGAAATAATGACTTGTATGCAATCTTAAAGATACATTGGACAATCTTAGCACAAATTCTTAACTGAATGTCATATTTCAAATGCATACAATTATTTGATAAAATTAATAACTAAATTATTGCTGAATTTGTTTAACGCGCTAATATTAATCAGAACAGAATAGTAATGAAAAACAAAGCATTTGATATTGCAATATAAATTTAGTGATAAAAGACTTGAACACAAACCCGTTCTTTAATTAAAAGACAGGAGCGAAGACTTCAATAAGAAAAGCTCATTCTTTATATGTTCGTTACATCCGGATTTAAAAGTAATTGTTTTACAAGAATTATTCATAAACACAGACAACTGTTGACCACAAACATATTTGGCAGTTTTCTAATTTCCTTCTCAAAAATTTATCATTTTTTATAAAATAAGAGAGAATAAAACATGAGATAAAGAGATATTGTATCATAGTTTGGGGACCTTTCAGTTGAAAATGTGTCAAAGTTAAATCGTATACATATACATGCACAGTGCGTTAACTGGAGAGCAGGTATTAGTTACCCCGTCCATTTATTGGCTCATTTCTGCTGGGGTTTACCTATTGTGACAGAAGAGAAAGGAAAAGCGACAGAAATATCATATTCAGATGCTCGTTCATTCGGTTACTTTTTCCCGGGGTTTCATATTGTGACAACAGGGAACGTGTTTTTACGTTTGACTATGATACAAAAGAGAAAGAACATCTAAACACTCGGCAATCTGAGTAATACTCGGGGGCTACGCCCCCTCTTACAAATCAGATAGCCTCGTGTTTCGATGCTCTTTCTATTACTTAAACAGTGTTAAATCAATAATACATGCCATTCCTTTTGAATACTTAATTTTGTAAATTAAAACCTATGTGAAATAATTACAATCATCTTTATGGACAGAATACATATGTAATACTCATCTAAACTATATTTTGGTGTTTTGACCGTTTGCAGCTTGACTGGTGTACATCAGTTGTCACCCTTGATTTAAGCTTTGGGTAAGGAAGGGTGGGTTTTGTTGCCATTAATCCCGTTATGATTGTTGAAGCCTGGTATTTTGTTTTACCACAATGTCAATCTTGTCGTTTTTCGTTTTTCGGACAAGACTGACAAATATGGTCTTCTCAGATGTTATATTATCTTACTCATTCAGCGAATCATTGTCACTAGTAATTTTAAATTTTGCTTCTAAACGGGATATATTTTCGGTAAACTGCTTCAATCACTTAGTTATCTATGTATTTCTGACAGTTTATATTCATATCTGTCACTAGTTTCGTTTCTATATGTTTGTAATTATGTAAACTATTTTCAATGCAAGACTCAAATGAAATTAATCTTCTTGTTGCTTAATAAGTTATGTTTACTGTTACATTATACTTGTAAACTAGAACGGAAATATGTTCGTTAATATTATTCATATAGATCTTATATACTAGAATGTAAACTGCCATATTTGTACGTAATTGTACTGTACATTTTGCCACATAGGTCGTTGTCTTTCTGGTTTGATGTGAATAAAACTTGTTAAACTTGGTACAACCCTGATGTCCTTATAACCATTTCATAAAAAGAACCACTGAACTCTCAAAAATGAAATAACGCATCAGATATCATGTACGTGAAGAACATGTATGTGTCACCGAGGCTCAGCTCCCTAATACCTTTAAAAATATTTATTTTCTGAAAAGCCCACATTTTGTTCATCTCCATCTTCGTCTTACACAGTTACAACATGTGGCTATATATAGTAATCACCCCTGACAACACGTTATCATAAATAATATCGCGGGTATTGATTACTGAATGTCGGTCGAAATACAATGATAAGTAAATCATTGTGGATCGTAAATGTATTTCAATTTCACTGACCGGATAATTACGGGAATTAATAAATTCAATGCACTGGAACAAACAACATAACAATTTATCTTTTAAAGCATTTGTGGTTTTCTTTCTTTTTTTTTTTGGTTTTCTTCTTCTTCTTCTTCTTCTTCTTCTTCTTCTTCTTATTATTATTATTATTATTTTTATTTTTATTATTATTATTATTATTATTATTATTATTATGTAGGGGATATGTTCCAATTTATGTTCTGTGTACTTTTATTTGTATTTTCATTAAAAATGTAATAAATCATCTATCAAGTCAAGTCCGGTTATTTTTTATCATCCCTTGTATTTGGTTAAATGAACTACATGTATATATAATACATATTTTTCGTTTTTATATTCTGATATTACAGTTAATTTTTTATTTGCAAAATATTACTATTTCATAATTTAATTTTAAAAAAACAACATATTTTTACGCAAGTACAAGTTGCCATATATTTTTGCACACGTGTTGTCCACTGTGCCGGCTAATTTTAGAGAGGCGAATGCTTTAAATGTGTAATTTGTCGTACATCGGTACAAACATTCTTGTAAACATCCGGTTAACATAACAACAAACTGACAACATATCCGAACTACGACAATACATTTATACACAAATGAGGAAAAAAACGTTAACTTTCAAATAAGAGTTTATAAGTCAACTTGGCATTTTTTCTTAATTCTTTCATTTTCATATAAAAAATAAGTCTCATTCTATTTATATATCAGCGTAATAGTACAATATACATGCATATTTTAAAACTAACAGTACATTTAGTAATTCCCATTTAAACATTGAAAAAAAGTAAATTTGTTAACCATATTATGTCTGGTGCATGGCATATTTTATTAATTTACCAGACAATTTACTTCATTCTGTTATAAATCATTTACATGTATATAGCAATAAAATATGATTAAACAGAAATCATTTAACATATATAAATGCTATGTAGAATCCTTAGAGGCATATATCTTAAAATACAAGATGAAATTACACAGTTAAAGGGTGTATTTTATTATTGAACCACTTTTCATAAATTTACACCGATTATCAGTTTGTAAACATTACGCGTGGATCACATGATACAGTATGGTTTAACGATATAGCAGAAATATTCGGCCATGTTTGTTTTTGAAAGGAATTTACATATAAACTTGACTATGTGGTAAGCGTGAACTATTTCGAGAACACATGTATGTTCACGAATTTCTACTGACTAATGACATCATATTAATATAATTTACGGATTAAATATGAAAGTATTTGCTACTATATTGAGCGTCCTAGTTATTTGCGCTCTCACTGTTGTAAACACTGTACAGTGTCAAGGAATAAATAACGTAGATGTGCAAGTGCTCGAAATATCATCCGAAGCGGTATTTCGGTATGCCAAAGTCTTGATAAGAAGTTTGATGATAAACAGGAATTCAGCGGATCAAGAAGTTGCGTTTCAGGTTCGTCTACCAAAAGAAGCATATATTACAAGTTTTGTAATAATAACTGGTGGTAGGAAGATCAAAGCTCTCATTAAAGAGAAGAAAAAGGCGCAAGATGCTTACGACAAAGCAAAAAAGGATAATGTAACAGCAGGACTTGTGAGCCAGCAAAGTATTCGCGACGATTTGGATTTGGAAATATTCAAAATTGACGTCAATGTTGCTGCAAATGCTGAGGTGGAATTTCTATTAGAATATGAGGAATTTTTGCAACGTCATGCCCAAAAGTATTCTCAAAAGTTATTTATCGACTCTAATCACGTGATTCCTAACTTGGAAGTGAGGTGTAAGTATAAAGAAAAACAAAAGTTTAAATATCTTTCATATAAGACGCCCTATCTGAAACAACGTGTTTTACCAGAGGAGGGTGCATTGTCTCACGGAAATTATTACGTTCAAACTGTGCAGTGGAAACCAAGTGAAACGGAACAAGAATTAGCAGTTGAGGGTCTTAAAAAGCCTTTTGAAGTTGAGTATGAACTAGACTTGGAAGACAACGGTGGAATGGTATTTATCAACAACGACGGACATTTTGTTTACTTGTTTTCGGGTCCATGCACGGAGAATAAAATCATGAACAAACAAATTGTTTTTGTAATTGATATCAGCGGCTCCATGAGTGGTAACCCCATACAGCAAGTGCGGCTGGCTATGTCATCCATCCTTTCACAACTACGAGAAACAGACTATTTCAGTATTGTCATATTTAATGATATTTCAACAATGTGGAAGACAAGCTTTCAGAGGGGAAGTTCAGAAAATATAAATGCAGCAAAAATATTTGTACGCGATAATGTTCTATCGAAAGGATCTACAAATATCAACGATGCTTTGCTTCAAGCTATAGATTTGTTTGGAACATCTGAGTCGGTTGAACGATATGGTCAAATCATTGTGTTTCTAACTGACGGTGAACCATCCACTGGTGTAGTAAATACCAGACATATTAGAGCAAATGTGAGGGACAAAAACCATGTGCACGGGAAATGTTGTAAAACGACAATTAATACTATTGCATTTGGTCGAAATGCCGATATAGAGTTTCTACAACAAATTGCGTATGAAAACGCAGGTACTTTGACAATTATAAAAGAAATTGATAATTCATTAGCAGAATCTGAATTAGTTTCCACTTACAATAATATTGAAAACCCTTACTATAAAGACTTGAGATTCGATTTTGAAGTTGCGGGGGAAAGTTTGCCTGAGGCAAACTTTACACAAGCGATTTTGCCATTGTATGATTGTGGAAGTGAAATTGTTATAAGCGGCTCAGCAATTCCTGGAGAGGACATTTTCCCAACGGTGAAATTAATAGGTGCCCAAAACGATATTACTTTTAACACCGTTCCAACCGTTTTGATAGTTGGCAGCGAAGCAAATATGCTGACGCGGTTGGCTGTGTATCAAAAGGTGAAACAGCTTTTAAAAGAAGCTGAAATATCCCTTGATAAGAATGAACGAGATGCTGCAAATAATTTGGCACTGAAACTAGCGTTGGAATATAGATTTGTAACGCCACTTACTTCTCTTATTGTAACTGATTATGCATCAGATGGAAATGATGGCTTTATGTATTCTGATTATAGTTTTGAAATGGTACCAATGTCAGCTAATTCGCCTACACGACGGTCAGGAAGTGGAATGTCAGCAAAGTCAGATTTTGGCTCGTATAGTTTCAACAGCAGTGACAAAGATTTTGTCAATTTTGGCTTATTTGTCAATTTTTATCTTCTGTTAAAGCTTATCATATAAAGCCACCAAGATAAAATTATTTTTGTTGTTGACTACACCCTGCGGATAGCATATCCGAATGTTGATAATTTTAGGGGGGGGGGGATGATTTTAACAACTACCATACGGATTTTATATACCAACAATGTATTTTCTTTGAAGTGCTTTTTGTTGAAATAAACTAATGCCTATTTCTTATGGGCCTGTTTTTTGTTTGAAGGTGTGATGTATGTACACATTATTTTTTTCAAAACATATTCAAAATTTGTTTCATTAGCATGACAAAGTCTTTTGAATATTATAATTTGTAATACTTTTTCATTCATATCGTTTTTATTTTGATGTTCTGAATGTTCATGTAACATGTATTATAATAAGCTATGGTTATTCATATATCTTGCATAAATACATTTCAAATGACAATACTTGAAAATTTCAATAATCAGTTTTTATGTACATGTAGTTTTCTTAAAAGTATTATATTGTTATTGCCATTGCTTTATTATTATCATCATGAAAATTATGATTAATGTTATTATTTGTTAGCCAGTTTACTCATCAGCTTTAAACGACATTAATGCAGTTACTACATTGTAGTAATCATTAAGCTGTGACAGTCATAAAAGCAGAAAATTATGATTATATATAGAAGTTAACTTATATTTTAGTTGCAAAAGGCAACGAATTAAAGGTGTGCAAATAACCATAATCATGATCCTTTCGAAAATAATTTATCACATTTGCTGTCAGGTATCTTCATGACAAGGTGTATATATTTATATAAAGTTAAATCATACCATAATACAATAGATCATCTATATGTCCTAAAAGCACAATTCTTTTTAACTAATAAAAAGAATGGGATTTTTTATGTAATACAGTAAAGAGCACTTTTCATTTTTTAATTATCATTCTCTTTTGCTAAATATTTTCATAAAAAGTATGGATCAGTGTTTATTCTTTTTTAACTCTTCTACTTTTTTACTAATATTTTTGAATCTTATTAATATACATATATATACGAGTATAAATATTTAGTTATTGCATGGTTGAATATAGTTTGTCTGTTGTTGTCTTTTACACAGCTTTATTAACCGTATTTATGATTGTTTTATTACATAATATAGATGTGTGGCTTTGTGTAGAACGCTTGGTTCACTAAGAAATCCATGTTTTGTTACCAATTACTTCAAGTAAACTAGGTTTATCTCGTATACAACTTTTACAACATTAAAATTCCTGTTCCAAATCATTAATTTGGTCAGAGCTCTTGTTAATTAAGTTACTTATAGTTGTTCAGAAGAGACTTTAACTTTGTTTCGTTTGTTAGAGCCAAATATTTGCATCAAAATGTATCAGTTAGTCAACCCTGGAATCTCTCTAGAAAAAATCCATGTCAAACATTTTTGTATGTGTTTCTAATGGCGGATTTACATAAGTAAATTCGAACGAAGTACGCAATTGAATGGAATTGATTTATTGATATTCAGCAATATCTAATAAATGAGTATAATTTTTTATTATTTCAATAATGATTTATACATTTTAGCATTTTATATTAAAAACATAATAAATAAGCACGCAATGGAATGAAATTGGTTTATTGACATTCAGCAATATTTAAGAAATGACTTTTTACTATATTAATGATGTTTTATACATATTAGCATCTAATGATAATAAGAATTGAATTTAATAACCACTCCAATAGCTTTTATTATTCCAAGTTATGTTGAACATACTTATAAAATATATTTATGTTAACGTGTTATGAACTATGATGTAAATTGTTTCATTTTATGTATATTGAATACACTATTTATTTTATATTAATAGTTTAACAGACTACATTTCAGGATTAGTCATATATCCTTTTTATTATTAAGTATTAGTAGCGTAAATAGTGTAAAGCAAAATTATATTATCTCATTCTATGTAGGAGATGGGGTGTATATATACAGATACTGACAGTTTAAGTATGTTTGTTTCACTGACAATTCTATTTTTTTTAAATAAGTGTTAGTTTTTTAGAACATTGATTTATAATACATAAACAAGAATGTGATGTAATGTCTGTATCTCACCTCCTGCCTGGAGTGAACAGTTAATATAATTTTAAACACATAGAAAATTTAATATAGAATATGATATCTTTTAAATTACATAAATAAGTTGTTTTATCCCTATGTTTTGATAATCACTACTGAACAGTTCATCCATGGTCTAACCATGAGTGAAAATGATTTTGTAAAACCTTTTTTATATTGCGTGATAGTGCTTTTATGACAAAATACATATTATACATTTCTATAATATGGACTGTGGAGTTATCCCTCTTAGTATTAGCTATAACAAGTCTCTTGTAATTCTTTCGAGAATGTCTATATACAAATTCAATGTTTTAAATGTTTTATATGTATATATGTGTATAGATGAGACTATAATAAAGAATAAATGTATAAATTTAATTGCTGATAACGTGTTTATAATGAAGCGGCCATACAATTGATTCAAAAGTTATATACAACCATAATTTTGTGGTCTTTCTTTTTTATATTAAATATTAATCAAATAGTTTGTTTGCATTTTCGTCTTTTTGTTTATGTCTAGCGCAATGTGTTGTTGAGTTAGGAACGCTCACTTCTTAAAATTTATTTTCAAGTAAATATCACCCGGTGTAAAATAGTTACTAACCTAGCGTGACCATCTTGTGATGTTTTGGATAACAAAGAAGAAGTATCTTTGTTATTAATAGAAAACATGTTCAACAAATGTGAACCTTATTTTTAAAATTATTTATCATTTATTTCATTTAATAAGATAACATGGTAAGTAAAATATCTATTAGAAACAAACAAAACAAAGTAAAATCAGTACATGAAACAATTTGTGGTACATCAGCAATGACTGCTTATTTCATTTAATAATCTAATTGTAGGACTTGCCCATCAGCGCTGTGGATTCGAGTCCCGACATGGAATTTAGATTCCAACATGTGATGAAGCTATCGCACTAGCTTACGAAACGTCGGTGGTTCTACTCAGGTGCCCGTTCGTGCCTGAAATAATCACAGATGGGCACCTAAGATCTGGAAATCTCCATTTTCTAATAGTTTCGTGCTCTTAACAGCGGGGGAAAAATGCTGATCGGCAGCTGCTGTTTAAAATCAATCATGGGGTGGGGCAAGTAGAGTTTATATTCAAGGGGAAGCTTCAAATGGATATTGTTAAATGTAAACAATCTCAAAGATAAATTAGAAAATCTTAGCTCAAATTGTTAACTAAAATGCACACACTTGTTTGATAAAATTGATAACTAAACTATTGCTGAATTTGTGGAACGCGCTTATACATTGTATTAATCAGAACAGATTAGCACTTAACACGTAACGAAAAAAAAAAAATTTTTTGATATTGAAATATAAATTTAGTGATAAAAGATTTGAACATAAACCCATTATTTAATTAAAAGACAGGGGCGAGTACTTCAATAACAAAAGTGCATTCTTTATATGTTCGTTACATTCGGATTTTAAAGTAATTGCTTTACAAGAATTATTCATAAACACAGACAACTGTTGACCACACACACATTTGGCAATTTCCTAAATCCCGTCTCTTTTTTTTATAAAATAGAATAAAACATGAAATAAAAAGATAATAAACAGTGTTAAATCAATAATACTTGCAATTCCTTTTGAATACTTAATTTTGTAAATAAAACCCTATGTTACTTTTAAAATAATAACAAACATCATTATGAACAGAATACATTATATTTATGTAATACTCATTTAAACCATACTTTGATGTTTCGCCTGTCTGCTGCTTGAATGGCGTACATCAGTTGTCACCCTTGATTTAAGCTTTTAGTAAGGAAGGGATTAATCCCATTATGATTGTTGAAGCCTCAGGTACAACCCTGATTTCCTAAAACCAGTTTATAAAAAAACAACATTGAACTCTCAAAAATGAGATAACGCATCAGATCTCTTTTTTGCAAAGAACAGATATGTGTCACCGAGGCTCTACTCCCTAATATATACCTTTAAAAAATCTTAATCTAATCTCCGGTACCTTACGCAGTTACAACATGTAGCTATAGTAATCTCCCCTGACAACACGTTATCATAAATAACATCGCGAGTATTGATTACTGAATGCTGGTTAAAATATAATGATAAGAAGAAATAAATAACAATTTCACCTTACTTTTATTGAGGTTGTAAATCATTGTGGATCATAAATATTTTTCAATATCACTGACAAGTAATATAATGTCAATGCCATTATTTACACTGGTAAAAACAACTAAACAACATAAGATTTCATCTTTTAAAGCTTTTGTGGTGTTTTTATTCTATTTTTATTCGTTGGTGTTTATTTATTTATTTATTCTTTTTGCAGGGGATAGATTCAAATTTATGTTCTGTGTACTTTTATGTAAATGTATTAAGCATTTGATAAATCATTTATCAAGTCCGGTTAAATTTTATCATCCCTTGTATGTGGATATACATATTGTTGTTTGTTATATTCTGATATTACAGCTAATTCTTTATTTGCAAAATAATACTATTTCATAATTTGATTAAAAAAATCAAGAACAAATTATTTCGCAAGTTGCCATATATTTTTGCACACGTGTTGTCTCGTACATTTGTAAGTCCACTGTGTCGGCTTATTTTAGAGAGGCAAATGCTTTATGTTTAATTTATCGTACTTCGGTACAGACATTCTATCATGCTACCGATTCATTTCCGACGGTTTTCATGTTTGTACTATCCTGCTAGGCTGCTAACTTCTCAAATTTCGAAGCGTCAGAATGAAAAAATTATGTTAAGATAATATTCAACATCTTAAAAAATAAAGATCACGATATTGAAAAAAGGCGTGGAATGATCTAAAGAAGTGCTACTAATGTATTTCCGACTGTTTTCATGTTTGTACTATTCTTAGTTTTCTTTAGCCTACTAGGCTGCCAGGCTGCTAGGCTGCCAGCCTGCTAGACTGCCAACTTCAGGCTGCTAGGCTGCCAACTTCACGAACATTTTAAGTATGGTTTAACATACTTTATTCTGCAATGAATCATTTTAAGTAAAGAACCATAAGAAGCCTATATCTTGAAATACAAGATGAACTTACACAGTTACCTCTTCTCGTTAATTACAAACTGCGTATCTTGTATTTTAACATAACGCGTGGATCACATGATGCACATGTTTAACGATACAGCAGAAATTCAGCCATGTTTGTTTTGAAATGGAATTTACATAAAAACTTTACTATTTGCTAAGCGTAAACTGTTTCGAGGGCATATATATGCTCCCGAATTTCTACATACTAATGACATCATATCAATATCATTTACGGATTAATTATGAAAGAATTTGCTACGATATTGAGCGTCCTAGTTATTTGCGCTCTTACTGTTGTTAACACTGTACAGTGTCAAGGAATAAATAACGTAGATGTGCAAGCGCTCGAAATAACATCCGAAGCGGTTTTTCGTTATGCCAAAGTCTTCATCAGAAGTTTGATGATAAACCGGAATTCAGCGGATCAAGAAGTGGCGTTTCGGGTTCGTCTACCAAAAGAAGCGTATATTACAAGTTTCGTAATAATAACTGGCGGCAGGAGGATCAAAGCTAAAATTACAGAGAAGATAAATGCGCAAGATGCTTACGACAAAGCAAAAAAAGATAATGTAACAGCAGGACTTGTGAGCCAGCAAAGTATCCGCGTTGATTTGGATTTGGAAATATTCAGAATTGATGTCAACGTTGCTGCAAATGCTGAAGTGGAATTCCTATTAGAATATGAAGAGTTTTTACATCGTCATTCTCAAAAATATTCTCAGAAGTTATTTATTGACTCTAATCATGTGATTCCTAACTTAAAAGTGAGGTGTAGTTATAAAGAAAAACAAAAGTTTAAATATCTTTCATATAAGACTCCCTATCTGAAACAACGAGTTTTTCCTGAAGAGGGTGCATTGTCTCACGGAAATTATTACGTTCAAACTGTGCAGTGGAAACCAAGTGAAACGGAACAAGAATTAGCAGTTGAGGGTCTTAAAAAGCCTTTCGAAGTTGAGTATGAACTAGAATTGGAAGACAACGGTGGAATGGTATTTATCAACAACGACGGATATTTTGTTTACTTGTTTTCGGGTCCATGCACGGAGAATAAAATCATGAGCAAACAAATTGTTTTTGTAATTGATATCAGCGGCTCCATGAGTGGTAACCCCATACAGCATGTGCGGTTAGCTATGTCATCCATTCTTTCACAACTACGAGAAACAGACTATTTCAGTATTGTCATATTTAATGATATTTCAACAATGTGGAAGACAAGCTTTCAGAGGGGAAGTTCAGAAAATATAAATGCAGCAAAATCATTTGTTTTTGATAATGTCATATCGAAAGGATCTACAAATATCAACGATGCTTTGCTTCAAGCTATCGATTTGTTTGGGACGTCTAAGTCGGTTGAAAGATATGGTCAAATCATTGTGTTCCTTACTGACGGGGAACCTTCCATTGGTGTAGTACATCCCATACGTATTAGAGCAAATGTGAGGAACAAAAACCATGTGCGCAGGAAATGTTGTAAAACGACAATTAATACTATTGCATTTGGTCGAAATGCCGATATAGAGTTTCTACAACAAATCGCGTATGAAAACGCAGGTACTTTGACAATTATAAAAGAAACTGATAATTCATTAGCAGAATCTGAATTAGTTTCCACCTACAATGATATTAAAAACCCTTACTATAAAGATTTGAGATTCGATTTTGAAGTTGCGGGGAAAGGTTTTGTGACCGACATTACACAAAGGAGTTTGCCATTATATGATTGTGGAAGTGAAATTGTTATAAGCGGTTCAACATTTCCTGGAAAGGACATTTTCCCAACGGTGAAATTAATAGGTGCCCAAAATGATATTACTTTTAACAACGTTCCAACCGTTTTGATAGTTGGCAACGAAGCAAATATGCTGACGCGGTTGGCTGTGTATCAAAAGGTGAAACATCTTTTAAAAGAAGCTGAAATATCCCTTGATAGATATCAACGAAATTATGCAAATAAAATGGCACTGAGACTAGCTTTGCTATATAGGTTTGTAACGCCATTTACTTCTCTTATTGTAACTGATTATGCATCAGCTGAAAATGATGACTTTATGTATTCTGATTATGGTTATGATATGGTACCAATTTCAGCTAATTCGCCTACACGACGGTCAAAGAATAGACATGTATTAAGGTCAGATAGACCTGCTTCAAGGTCAGATAGTTTCAACAGAGACAGTGTCAACAGCTGTAGCACAGTTTTTGTCAATTTTGGCTTTTTTGTCAATTTTTATCTTCTGTTAAAGCTGATCATATGAAGCTACCAAGATGAATTTTTTTTCGTTGTTGACTACATCTTTCGGATATTACATCCAGATGTTGAATATTTTAGGTCATGATTTTGCAACTACCGTCAGGATTGTATATACCAACAATGTATTTTCTTTTAAGTGCTGTTTTTGGGATAAATTACTGGATAATTCTTAAGAACCTGTTTATTGTAGGTGTGTGGTGTATGTACACATTTTTTTTCAAAACATATTTAAAACTTGTTTCGTCAGCATAACTAATTCTTTTGAATTTTATAATTTTTAATATTTTACATTACCTTCTGATTCATATGTTTTTAATGTTTATTCAACATGTATTATAATAAGCTATGGTTATTGATACATTTTGCATAAATACATTTCAAAAGTGAATACTTTTAAAATAAAAAATCGATAATTGTTTTAATGCAGTTTTCTCAAAAGTATAATTTATTACTGCTTTGTTTAATTATCATCATGAACATTATGATTAATGCTATTATTTAAACGTAGAAATAACATAATTTTGCATGTTTAACAGTTAATACTTTAGCCGAGTATCTTTTTTAAACTTCTTGTTTCTAATAATTAATCTGTCACAAAAGCAGAAATGATAATTGTATATAGTTTAACTTGCAATTAAGTTGCTAAAAGGCATTGAATATAATGGCTATCATGAACATTTAGTCAAATTGTTTAGTCACATTTTGTGTCATGTATCTTCAAGACGATATGTATATATTTATAAAGTAAAGTCGTACCGTGGTAAATATACATGTAGATCACTTTTCATTCTTTTTAATTATCATTCTCTTTTACTAAATATTTTTATAAAAAAAAGTATGGATTAGTGTTTATTCTTTTTAACTCTTACTTTTTTCCTAAATATTTTTTTAATCTGATATATATGTATATAATTATGATTTTATTTCATGATTGAATAAAGTTTGTCTTTTGTTGTCTTTTGCATTAAACATTATTGTCAGATTTATTAACCCGCATTTATAATTGTTTTTATTACTTTATGCATAGTGACTTTGTGTAGAAAGTGTGGTTCACTAAGAAATCCATGTATTGCTACTTCAAGTACCAATTACTTCAAGTAAACTGGCTGTATCCCTCATTCTACTTCAATTAAATTTTCTATTACAAGTCAGCGTCTCTTCTGTTATTTAAGTTACTAATAGTTGTTTAGAAGAGACGTTAACTTGGTGTTCTATTATTTGGAGCCAAATACTTGCATCAAAATGTATCAGTTAGTCAGCCCTGGAACAGACGACTGCTGTCTATAGAACAAATCCACGACAAACATTTTTGTATGTGTTTCTAATGGCGGATTTACATAAGTAAATTCGAACGAAGTGTACACAACGGAATGAATTTGATTTATTGATATTCAGTAATATTAAATAAATTGGAATATTTTATTGTTTTAATGATGATTTATATATTTTCTATAGCATTTTATATTAGTAACATAATAAATAAGTTCGCAATTGAATGAAATTTATTTTTTGATATTCAGCTATATTCAATTAATGAGTATAAATTCTTATTATTTTAATGATGATTTATAAATTTTAGCATCTTATGTAAATAACATAATAACAAAAGAATTGAATTTAACAAAACACCAATAATTTTGTATAATTCCAAGTTATGTTTAACATACCGTATTAATATATATTTATGTTAGTGAATCATGCACTATGATTTAAATTGTTTCATTTCATGTATATTTTATACATTATTTAATTGCTTATAACGTGTTTATAATGAAGTGGCCATATATTATATACAAACATAATGTTTTGTCGACTTTCTTTATTATATTAAATATTAATTAAAAGATTTGTTTGTTTTTTCGTCTTTTCGTTTATGTCTGGCGCAATGTTTTGTTGAGTTTAAAGTCGTTCACTTAAAGGAGCGTTCGCTTCTTCGAATTTATTTTAAAGTAAATATCGCTCTGTATAAAATTGTTATTAACTTAGCGTAATCATCGTGTGATGTTTTGGATAACAAAGAAGCAACTTAAAAGTATCTTGTTATTAATAGAAAACATGTTCAACAAATATGAAACTTATTTCAAAAAATATTTATAATTTATTTCAGTTAATAATATAACAGGGTAAGTAATAAAAACTATACGAAACAAACAAAGTAAAATCAGTACCTGGTACAATGTGTGGTACATCAGCAATGACTATTTATTTCATTTAATAAGTTAAAAGTAGGCCCAAATGATCCTCACCGTTGTTGATTCGAATCCCGTCAGGGACTTTAGATTCCTACATATGATGAAGCCATCCAGCTAGCTCTACTTAGATGCGCGTTCGTGTTTGAAATAATTCACGGACGGGTACCTAATGTCTTCCTCCACCAGTAAAGCTGCAAAGTCTCAATATGACATATACTGTGTAGCTGCGATATAAAACCCAACCAAAAAATTGTAGAAGGAAGTAAATATAAGAGCCTTTTACATAATTTTTCGTTTTTACTTTAAAGAAATTGCTAACGGCAAATAGCAGTAATACTAATAAATCAGTTTAGAAAAGAATCAGCAATCAATTTTCTGTTTATTATTTTATTTATGAAAAGAAAATCGAAGTTCAAAACAATTTATAGCACTGTTCTTTAAATCAGTTATCCGAAAACTTCTTTCTGCGTTCATTAAATGAGTACATATATTTTGTAGCACACTGTTATCTACCGAAAGTGGAAAACGAAAATTGAATAATTATCCGCTTTAAGATAATTTAAATCATTTTCCCCAGAGTGTTAAAATGTTTAAGTACGTTTTCTTTACAGTATGTTACATAATGTACATTTAAGAATGGGATGCGGTGTTCGATATTGAATAGTTTTACTGTTGGATTTCTATTGCTGCAGCAACTCCACAGTACATGCTGTATTGTATTTTTAAACTAGAGGCAACTTTTATATTTAGAGGGACAAAACAAGTAGAAAGAAAGTACTATTTAAAACAACAAATACATGCATAACTTTGGCAGAGCCCTGTTACCCACGTGTCATACTCTTTGAATGTTGTGTGTTCAATTATTGATTGTTTAACACTTGTGACTATTTTTGTCTCGTTCAGACTTTTATTGCAGAAAAAATTGAAATCTAGGAAACTCCTAATGAGTATATGTATTTGAAGTAAACTATGTTTGGGAAGCTGCAGTCCTTATAACTTGTCCAATTGAATTGGCTAATCTTAAAAAACTGCCAGTTTGTTTAATTATGCTATGTGTTCATATTATATTTACTTTTAGTATATAACGTAACATATGTTTACATTGAAATAGAGATTGTATTGCAATGTTTAATGTCCGTATTGGCCTTGTGTCGTTTATTTCATTGGATAGGTAACATATTGACTCTATTTTTTGTAACTCTTGGCTTTGAAGCATTAACATAAACATGGTAGAAGAGTTTATATGGTATCCAATATTACGAGTAATACAATTCACATTCATGATATTAAAAACGCTTACAGTACTTCAATAATGAGGAAATTTTCTATGCTTTTATATTGACGTCTCACATTTATTCGAAGACTGTCATAAAAATAATATAAATAATCAGTTTATCCAAGAGTAGGAGAAGAATCCATTTTGTAACCAAAACTCACACTGTGCTGCATGGTAACTGCGGAACGTTTTTGTCTCCGTGTTTAGTTCAGCTGTGACGTCAGGATATTGTACCCAATCACCTGTAGCAGGCGATCCTGTTCTGACAAACGCCATTATTTCGCTCTGCACACGATTTTCCCATCTAGTATCAAGCGACCCAGGAGCAGTTCCAAGAACAACATTCATAGTTTGGAAAAAGCCAAACAAATCAATGCCATGGTATGCATAATTTACCGGATATTTCGAAGCAAATGGTTTTGCTGATTGACCCTTTGTGTAATATGTAGCAATGTAACGATATACTGGTAACTTATTCCCGGAAGCCAGGACGGTTGCCAAATAGTCTGTGCCACAACCGGTCCGTACATCTGTTACCATTGTAGTGAACTGGAACTCTGGCGTGGATACATTTGCTGGGTATAAACTCAACGCAGTTCTCCCAATCATATTATTGAATGTCCCTAGTTTCTTTGTCACATGGTCTTCATAGTCATTAGTTTGCCATGTCCAATTAAGAATCTCGCTTGGAAACGGAGCCACGTCGACTTCTTGTGCTGTAGTGCCTGAAATGAACATTTTAGTGGCACTTAACGATGATAAGAGATGTTGACACTTATAAGATAAAAAAGTAAAGTATGGCGACTTCTCTTTTATCTTTTGTGAAAATATCTGATCTTTCTGAATGTAAGCTAACACCTTTAACATGAATTGTAGCTGCATACATCTTATTTCCCTCATAAACATTACAATAATGTGATACATGGCATCTAAGTTGTTACCAAGACATCCTAAAGAATTACAGAAAATTTCTTTTTCCGCCAATGAAAAGTAAAGTGTCTGTAACTATTTGAAAAGGTGTTTCTTTTAACTAAAACAAAATGTGTTATGAAATATTTAGACGTTTCTAAAGATGAGATAATTTCAAACCTATCATAACTGGGACATCAACTCCATTACCACGTGACCAAGTTTCGAACGGTGTCTCAAGTAGCACATATCCTTGATAAAGTTCAATATGCATTTTGTTAAAACATACATATATAAAGATATGAGTACATGTACCGTGACTTTGTTTAAAATTAATGCCGGTTTATGCTTTTGGTTCTGATAATCTACTCAAAGCAAATTTAGCGTGCTTAAATTTTTATGACGGCGGCTTTGTGTTATCGACAAAATGATTACTCTTATCTTCTTTGATTAAGATTCATAAAATGAGAGAGGGCACTCGTAAGCTTTCATAGCTTTCTTCTCAATACCAAAATAATTGTGTAAATATTGTTCATCATGCAAAATGTAAATATATCGAATACATATGTTTAAACCAATATGTTGATATGTTCGTTTTATAGACCCTCAAATTTTAACATCTTATATAATTGCAAAATGTTGGTTTGGTGATAATTCAGTAAATATTCAACAAGCTATACCGTCAACTACAGCCAATGCACCATCAAATTTACCAAGCTCAGGAAGTCCAAGAAGATCTTCCATTGCCCAGTACGGATAAACGTCCCACGGCACGTTAGTTATAACGTCATTAGGTGAGAGCTTATACAAACAAGATACGTCACGGCAACCAGTGTTCTTTATAAAGATTTCATTATCTTTGAATGCATCTGAGGCTGTTTTATTCATGACCGGCGAAGCGCTTATCATCCACACCTTGTCAAAAAGGCCTTTGCATAGCGGCGAGGACAAAAGAGCTATCAGTGCTGTTCCACCAGAACTTTGCCCAAATGCCGTAACCTTTTTCATAAATATAACGTTAAAATACATTGTTAGCTTGACAAATGTATGATAATATTCACTAAGTAATGTACGTTCACCAGATCCTTCATAATGCTTGATGAAAACCAATTGTCATGTTCAGGTCACATGTCCTCATTTAAACGCTCATCATTATGCCGAAATCATGCATTAGCAACATATTCTTTAGGTTAAATTTTTCATGCGCAGTATTTTCCATATAACACAACTAATCAAAAAACACAACGCCGAAAATAACAACAATGAACATAAATCATATATGAATGTTCATTTCAGTGGATCGAACTCAAATCTTTAATATCGTTTCTGTTAATTCATATATCCTGGTAGGATAATCAAACAATCTTTAACCATTCATCTTAATGTTTTGGGATTTGCTGAAAGATGCACGAATAATTAAACATACCTGATTCGGATCGCCACCAAAGTTTTGAATATTTTCCTGAACCCAACGAAGTCCTTCAATCATATCCATGAAACCATAGTTACCGGAAGTATTCGTTGGTGAACCATTTTTAAGCCATTCTAAAGCCATAAATCCAAATGCATTTAGTCTGTAATTTATACTGACAAATACAACGTCAAGTTGTTTGGCTAAAGCTAATGTCGGAGCGTAGCCAATATCGTACTGGTTCCCGTTTCCGTACAAGAGATATCCGCCATGAATCCAAAACATTACCGGAAGTTTAGCAGACGAATTTAATGTCGGCGTTAAGACGTTTAGATAAAGACAATCTTCATTTCCAATTATCTTCGAATTATTCGCTGGATCTCTCTGAACGCATGGGCTTTGAAAGTTATGAGCTTTCAATGTTCCATTCCAGCAATTATTGTTCTCCTTTCTCACTGCTTCCGGGGGCCGCCATCTTAATTTTCCAACTGGTGGACTGGCGTATGGAATTCCTCGGAAAGAAAAGCCAGCGTCTGTTTGTGACCAAACGCCATCAATTTCACCGCAATTTACGAAAACATTTGCACTAGGACTTACAGGTGATAGAATAAATCCTGAAATTCCTATTAAAAACGTAGAAGTTGTTAATATGAGAAGCAAATATTGGCACCAACGTCGCATGATTTTATTTTAGATCAATTTTTGACATTAATTAATATCCAGCAGGATAACACAGTTTTAAAGTAAGGTCACTGTCCACTTTCTTCACTTTATCAGATAGTTTGAAGACATCAACTACAGACGAGAAGGGTCTAGATAACAATATAAACAAGTCCTGAACCGTCTGCTTAAAACAAACTCTTACATAAGTTCGGCATGACAATAGCTCGGGAGGACACCATAAACATATTTATAATAAAACTGTTTTACGAGGTTGTTGGAATTTTAAACACTTATTTATAGAGAAATTAAATTGATTTTACCAGTAGTAGTAGAGACCTTACAGTAATGATTTGCTTATGTGTACAGTCAGCAGTTAAGTAAACTGTATAGAAATTGTCTGAAGAAACGGAAAAGTTAAACAAATGAAGATGTGTGAAGTTGGCGACTAGGCGGCCTGGCGGTGTGAAGTTGGCGGCCTTGCGGCCCAGCGACCTGGCGACGTGAAGTTGGCAGCCGGGCGGCCTAAAATTTTAATTTGTAGTTATGTTATAAAAAGAATAAAAAGGGCAATTAATGATGCTCTTAAGACAATCCTTGTTATTTTAAGTTATTTAAAGGATATATAACAAGAAAAATATCACTTTGATATTTTTTTTATTAAATCATATTTGTGAAGTTGACGGTCTGGCGGTCCGGCGGTCTAACAGCCTTAAATTTTTAATGTCAAAGAAATAAAACGACTCTTAGATACGTTTTCAAGACATTCTTATCTTCTAAAAGTTATAAGAGAAAAAAAAATCATATTCATATTTTTTTGTTTTCCAGGGGCCTGGGACTTATACACAAACGAGCAGTAAAAGGAAAATAAGTAAGATTGTTGACAATAAATTAAAAAGCCCATACCGAAAATTCCTTGTTCCGTTTAATAGGGCTAAAGTTCTAATATTGACAATTTGTAAGTTGAAACAAATACTTGTTTTTAATAAAACATGAACGTTTAAGACAAATCTATTAAATCAAGTTTCACTAGTTAAATATATTTCTGTTCACGAAAATTAGGTCAATGAAAAATATGTTAAAGCAGCATACCTCCAGACTCATGCTAGTTTTCATGCAAATTTTGAAAATGCAATGTAAATTAAAGGTAAAATATTTTAAAGTGAACAAGAAAAGTTATTTACATAATGCAAACAACACTTAAACGTTAATTACCAAAAGAAAGTCACAATATGCAAAAAAGTCGTCACTTATTAGTCACACAAAATAGTTTTATTTTCATTAAAATTTTAGTAGATTTTGTCTATTTAAAGTTTTTTTTGTAATTAACATTTTATTTCCCATATAGTAATAACATGTAATAAGTATTTTCTTTACTAGCAATCAGTATAAAAACCCACAGGCACGAGTATCGGACCTGGGAAGAAAAAATATGACCAGGTTGATAAAAAAAAACCTGTGTTCATCTTAAAAGTGTCAAAAAATTAAAAAAAAATGTAAATAATGACCCACTTTAAAAATATACTATATAAGTTAAGAGAAGGCCGGAAACTCCAGATTTGAGACTACGAGCAAGGGATTCATTTCCCGGGCCGATGTGAAAACAATTGGACAGACAATTAAAGAAAACTTTAATCACTATTTCAAGTTTGTATTAAGCTTCAAAATGAGACCGACCACAAGTCTCTAGCCCTTCCCGTTCATGAAATATCTATCAGGAAACGAGCGGATTCGTGCTTAAAATCCTTGGTAGACAGAATTGCGGCACAACAATTCGGTACGTAAACATAGACTATCCCGGGACAACCAATATTCAATCAGTTAAGCCATTTTTAGCCAATAATAAATGGAAGGAGAAATTATACGTTAAATTTATTTTAGCTATTAATGGATCTATCAACACTTTTTCATTTTAAGGTTGGTACATTTTCAACAAGTCTTGATCTTTCTTAGAAATTCAATAAAAACGATATGACCCACTCGGGTCACTCTCAGAAATATTTTAACCTAAATTCAAACAGCAGGGTAATCACTTTGGAAAATTTGTTCAAGATAAATCAGGGCCACTTAAAATTGTAGAAAATTTCACAACAGTCTATTCAACGATTTTCAACAGTATTTTCAAGATTTTAAAAAACTTACACTAAATGTTATAACATATGTAAAGTACAATGCAGTAGTATGACTACTGTTAATGTGTATAAAAAGGCAGTTAAAGGTGTCACTTCTTAGTACGCTATTTGGGGTGCAAAATGATAAATGCATCCAATCTTTACAGCATTTTACCTTCCCCACTTTATAATACTAGCAAATACGGAAACTTGTCTAGATCTGCCAATTGCTATCGCCTACAAAACAATTATTCTACAATCATCACATGAAAAAAATTGATAACAATATAAGATTTTATTAATAAGGACCCCCATGTAAAGTCTGATGAATATTTAGTGGTACATCATATAAATAAATGCTTTAAATACACCTAGGACTGAGGTAAATGGTAAAACTCTTTAGCCAATACTTTATAAAAAAAATTAACTTGCTTGGAAAAAAATTTCCACTATTTTAAACAAGTGACTATTTTGATATAGTTGAAGTTGGACAATTTATATTGTGTCACTTAAAACAAACAGTTTCTTATTGTTTTACTGATAACAACTGACAATTAATCAAGTATGGCATTTCTGCAAGTTTTGAAGTTAATACAACATGTGACTTTATGCAATTTAGTCAGACATGACATCAGTGCCACAGAATTAAGAATGTGTTTGAATTTAGGTTGTGATTGAAAATTGGTTGTTTCGGGATAATACATGTATGTCAGCTGAGTACGGGTCAAAATCACTTGAATTTACTAAATAATATTACTAAATACATTAAGTTGGACCACTCACAACTGTCAGTAGCATCTGATACACACGAGATTCGAGTTTCAACATTTACACGGTCTTTCAATCGCTTTCTACGCCATTAGGCATCCTTGTGTGAAACGTTGCGGTTTTCGTTGCTATTGGCCAATCAGAAGACTCGTTACAAAATATCGGACAGCTGATTGACAATGGCGTAGAAAGGAATCTAAAGACCGTGGAAAGGTTTGAAACTCGAAACTCGTGTGTATCAGATGCTACTGACAGTTGTGAGCGGTCCAACTTAATGTATTTAGTAATATTATTTAGTAAATTCAAGTGATTTTGACCCGTACTCAGCTGACATACATGTATTAGTCTATGTTTACGTACCGAATTGTTGTGCCGCAATTCTGTCTACCAAGGATTTTAAGCATGCACGAATTCGCTCGTTTCCTGATAGATATTTCATGATCGGGAAGGGCTAGAGACTTGGGGTCGGTCTCATTTTGAAGCTTAATACAAACGTGAAATAGTGATTAAAATTTTTTTTAATTGTCTGGCCAATTGTTTTCACATTTTCACATCGGCCCGGGAAATGAATCCCTTGCTCGTAGTCTCAAATCTGGAGTTTCCGGCCTTCTCTTAACTTATATAGTATATTTTTAAAGTGGGTCATTATTTACATTTTTTTTTATTTTTTGACACTTTTAAGATGAACACAGGTTTTTTTTTATCAACCTGGTCATATTTTTTCTTCCCAGGTCCGATACTCGTGCCTGTGTAAAAACCATGACAAAGACCACCCAAGTAAAGGCCACTCTACTTAATAAATGCCATCCTCGGGGGTTTTCATATAGACATATAGGCAAAATTAAACTGTTCAATAGAATTTCTTTAAACTTGGCATGTTGTTAGAATATGATAACAGAAACAGTTTAAGCGAAAAAAAAATATTATAACTAAAATAACAAAAACTTACATTTTAACCAACCCTTTGACGACAATTACGCTAGAAAATTCAATTTTCACATTTGCTTTTGATGCAAAAATGAAAGTTGGTTTTCCCAGACATGTACAGAAGTTACCCACAATTCAACGGGTATTTGGGGCAATGGGGCAGGGCAAAATGTCTATTGATTTTTCTCAACACTCTAATTTATCGTGTTTATATAACTTGAGTTTAACATAAAAGTTATTCAAACTAGCGATTTTCATGTCTTGAAAAATTAAAAGCCAGCGAAACGGACATTTTCTCGACAAAACGGAGAGATATTATAATTATACATGTATTTCCTTTGAAACCGAGAACTGAAATAGAGAAAAGAATACATAGATGAACATCCAACATGTATTTTCCCTTTTTACTATTACCGATTATAGGCTGAAATTATAAAAATCGCCTTTGTTCACAAGAAGAACAGCGGATATACATTTCAGATGAATGTATCTTAACATAGCTTGTGTATTATTTAAGTATAACCGTGGTGTCATTATCGTATTTCAGCAAATGCTGGTAAAATATTTGGCAAATTGGCAGAAAGGAAAAGACAGAAAGAGATAACTGTCTTTCGTCATGATAATTTATGTGTAATTTTATTTGATTTACAACTGTAAACTTCCAGCTGCCGGGTCGCTAGAGAAAAAAAACTTTTTAAATGTGATTTTTTTTTCCTTATGATAAGATATGTCTTTAAAAACTGATAAAGAGTCATTTTTCAATTATTTTCCAAACTTTTACAACATTAAAATTTTAGGCCGCTAGACCGCTAGGCCGCTGGGCCGCCAGGCCGCCAAGTTCACAAAAATCATAAAACAAAAAAGTTTTCTCAAAGGGTTTTTATTTTTTATATATCCTTTAAATAACAAGAATTGTCTTTAGAACTTCACAAAAATGATAGTGATTTTTTTCTTCTTATTTACCTTTTAAATATCAAAAATAGTCTTAAAAGTTTAATAAGTGCCATGTTTATTGTTTGTATAAATTTCTAAGACAGTAAAATTTCCGGCTCCCAGGCCCCTGGAAAACAAAAATTTGTGAATGTGATTTTTTTTTCTCTTATAAAACTTTAAGATGATAAAATATGTCTTTAAAACCTTATTAGAGTCGTTTCAATTTCTTTGACATTAAAAATTAAGGCTGTTAGACCAGGTCGCCAACTTCACAAAAATGAT